TGCTGCACGGCATCTAAAATCCCCAACAACCTCGTGGATCCCTTGAGCTTCTTCCCCTCCTCATCTTTCTGCGCCGGCTGACCCTAAAAATAGCCCCCAACTACCATGCGCCCGGGGCAATACTCTCAGCAAGCCGGTGACTCTTGCTATGGAGACAGAAAAGTACGGCACATTTCGATACGAGCCGCCCGATGATGTCGTTGAGCCCATGACCAAGATAGGGCCGACCAGCTCTGATTATTATGCACATATTCTGTGTACTACCTTGATCTACGACTGATTCGCCCACCAACCGCGCAGCTTAGTCAATCGACGGTGCCGCGCTCTCTTGTTACCTCATTAGTCTCCTACCTTCGTCTTGGCGAATCAGATGCTCCGTCTCCGTACTGTCTCGGACTGATCGACCCTGGGGACATCTCGCCGGTCAACGCAACCCAAGAAACGCTTTTTTTTTTTTTGCTTTTTGCACCGTTCTGCATTCGTATCCGCGAGACTTCCACTTACCCCGACCTTCTGTCGCGGCTGCCCGGCCAGATGAGCCTCACCGCCGACTCCAAGACTGCTCAACAGCGGCGTCCTGGCAAGAAACCAGGTCCTTGTCCTGCGCGTCGATCTGCCTTCTCGCTTAGATAGGCTGGCGACTGAGCCATGCCCTAGAATCTCGACAACTCCTGGAGCGCCCGAATACCTCCCGTGCCAAGCAGTGGAGCTCCCGAAAAAGTACGAGGCTTTCAGCTGAGCTCATACGGTCCACCGTGACTGCTGTCGTCCCATCTGGATATACTACGATCTGGTCCGACTTCCAGGCCTCTCGCGGGTGTACTCCAGTCAGGTTGCAGGTTTCCTGGGTGCGGTCAGACCTCTGCCTGCTAGCCCGAATACACACCGTCCATATCACATCAGAACCTTCAATGTGTCATTGCAAGCTGGCAGTTGATAGTGGAAATTATGCTGACATGTTGCATGTCAAAAAACCGAATCAAGCGCCCTACGAAGCACTGCAAACCTATCGGCGCACGTCTAGACCATCCGCGAGTACCGAGCCATGACATATGGCTGTCCTCCAAGTGGCCCGTCAGCCTCATCCTTCACCTATTCTCAGCCTGTGTCACACGAGCCCGTCGAACCCGTCGCTGCAGCTCCTAGCCATAGGGCAAGAAATTAGCACCTCCAAGGCAGATCTTGGGTCCAATTTGGGGATCTGACATGATCCGCACCACCTAACCAGCTTTGTCGCATTCCGTCTGCCTGGCTACTGCCCCCATGACAAGCCGGAGCTCAGCCTCATCCCAGATTTGTCCCTGCTTAGCTTTTTTCATCCTCTCCTAGTACACATCTTCTCTGCCCCGTATCGGTATCGCTAGCTCGACCCGAACGACCTGAAGCATGTTCCATCTACCTCCACATGGCACAACAAACATACCTTCTTTCTCCACAACGCACGATCGTATCCACCATGGAGGGGACTTGGCTTATTGTTCCCTCCATGTCAGAATGAGGCATGGTAACTGCCCAAGGGGCAGGGGTCGGATGCACCTCACTTCTACTCACACTTCGCGTTCTTACTCGCATCAAGATATGCCTGGAAAGCTGCCGGTCTGTGTAGACGCCACCCCGAGGCCTTGGATATGCAAGTGCACCGAGACTATTGATGTCGCCCTCCCGAAAGAGGCTAAGGCCTTGAAAGGCCGCTCCAGGCAAGACTTCACGTTGATACACAAGTTGTATATAATCCCAACTCTCCCTTCGGATATCTCGATGGAATAGCAGATCACCAAGTCAGTCGCTCATCTCCTACCAGTCTCGTGCTTTCACGTTCATCATGCTTTCCAATTTCATCGGCTCCAGCCTGGGGGCTTTCCTCCTTGCTTCTCTCGCTCATGCCAACCCCATTCGTTCGGTTGAGCAAAGGCAGACAGGTTGCGGTACCAATGGTATAGGCAACAGAGAATGCTGGAACGGAGACTTCAACATCGACTCCGATTTCGAGATCTTGACACCGCCTCAGGGAAAGTTGAGAACCGTAAGTATCGTCTCTGCCTGAGATTCAACTTTTACTGATGACTTGAGTAGTTTGACTTCACCCTGAGCAACTTGACCGATGTCGCGCCAGACGGCGTGCACAAGCCGGCCATGTTGATCAACAACCAGTTCCCGGGTCCTACGATCGAGGCGGACTGGGGTGACACCATCCAAATCAACGTTCACAACCAACTCCAGAACAACGGTACCTCCTTCCACTGGCACGGCATGCATCTGCGTGGCCACAACGACCAAGATGGCGCCAACGGTGTTACGGAGTGCCCTATTCCTCCTGGACAAAGCAAGACGTACTCTTTCCAGTTGACTCAGTACGGTACATCTTGGTATGTTAGCTTCTTTGTTGTTGCAGACTTGGACCCACCGACTAATGCGCCCGCTTCAGGTATCACAGCCACTTTTCCGCCCAGTACGGCAACGGCGTTGCAGGCGCCATCCAGATCAACGGACCGGCGTCCGCTGACTACGACATTGACCTCGGCCCATTTGTTATCAGCGATTGGTATTACGGAACGGCAGACAACCTCCTGCGTCAGGCCGAGCTTGTGCCAGCCCGCCCGCCGCCCAGCGACAACATTCTCTTCAACGGCAAAAACATCAACCCACTCGGCGCCGGCGGTCAGTACCAGAAGACGAGGCTGACCCCAGGCAAGAAGCACCGTCTCAGACTCATCAACACCTCCGTCGACAACACTTTCACCGTCTCCCTCGTGGGCCACAGCTTCACAGTCATTGCTACCGATCTTGTTCCTGTCAAGCCTGTCACCAAGGACAGCCTCTTCATGACTGTCGGCCAGCGGTACGATGTGATCATTGAAGCGAACAAGGAAATTGAGAACTATTGGTTCAACGCAACTCTCGGCGGCGGTGGTCTTTGCGGCGAGTCGCATAACCCTCACCCAGCTTCCATCTTCTTCTACGATGGATCTCCGGATAGACTGCCCGTCGACCAAGGCACACCTCCCGCCGACTTGGGGTGCGCTGATACCACTGGATTCACTCCTGTGCTCTCCCGAACGGCTCCCTCAGACAAGTTCGACCCGAGCAAGACGCTAGACATTGAACTGGCAACGCCGACGATCAACGGCGCAGCCGTCTATCGCTGGAAGGTCAATGGTAACGACATTGACATTCAGTGGGATAAGCCGACTCTGGAATACGTTGCCGAGGGCAACAACTCCTGGCCGGAACGTGCCAACATCATTGAGATCCCCGAGGCCAATGACTGGACTTGGTGGGTGATCGAGAACACGGGTAATCTGCCGCATCCCATCCATCTCCACGGTCACGACTTCTTGCTGCTCGGCACTGGCAGCGGCACGTTCAGCGGCTCAGAGGGACTCAACTTTGAGAACCCTACCCGCAGAGACGTTGCACAACTCCCCGGCGCTGGTTGGATGGTGATCGCATTCAAGACGGACAACCCGGGCGCCTGGCTTATGCATTGCCACATCGCTTGGCATGTGAGCATGGGTCTCAGCGTTCAATTCCTCGAGCGGAAGAGCGAAATCGCTTCGACGCTCGATCTGGCATCGATCAAACCAACTTGCGATGCTTGGAGGAAGTATGAGCCCACCGCAGTGTGGCCCAAGCATGATTCTGGCTTGTAAAAAGAATGTCGCCTCGGGCTGGCTGAGAACACAGGCAGCATTTGTGGCGTCCAATTGCTGAGGGGGACGACTGCGATGTTGTGGCCTGTCAACACGAGAGCACCAAGCCAGTCTGGCGCCTCAGCCTCCAACGTCATTCTACTTTTATTGGCCTTTTCTCGGGCTGTGACTCGATTTCCGTGCGGTAACCCAACCCTTCATCATTGCAAGGATTTGGTACGGCGCGGAATTCGGGCTTCTCTGGCCCTGTCATGGGCCACAGGCGCGCATGACAGCTACACCACCTCCTCGCAGCGGACTTCCGGGCCTTACACACATTTCGCACGCACGCGCACTAATTAATGATCGACTTACGAAGCAAGGATATGGGAGGAAAACATCTACTTTCAGCAGGCGCAGGCATTTCATTGGTGTTTTTGTCTTATGCATGGATTGGAGTTGTCCGGTTGCTGATACCTATTTTGTCCGCTCCGCTCCATCGATTGGTCTATTTTCTTGTACATGGGTTGAAAACATGCATAGAAGGGGGTGAGCAGGGCTGCAACATCATTTGCTTGGACTTTTCTATAAAAAAATGTCTAGTTCTTTTTTGTATTAAATTTTAGGTAAAATAATGGTATTTTCCGCTCGTACACACACTTTCAGCCCTATGTCCTAGTGTGCATGCAATGCAGTAAGCAATATTTCCCTGCGCGATGAGTTGGGAGTAGAGGAGAACTTCGGGCGGGCTATCAGCGGAAAGTGGGAGCTCTGCAGGAGTTGACCGGAGGTAGCGGACACCAGGAGCACGCGACCATGAGCACTCAAGGTGACTAAGGTGATTAGAGTAATGTTAGGCGCAACCCTCAAAGTCCCAATGCCGAGAGCTGCGGTAGGGGCGGATCATGGGATAGATAGTGGTGTGACCTCAGCTCGCATCGCCCCCAATCTGGCAATCCCCCCCAGACTCGGGATTTCTGGACTTATGTCAGCTTCGGTCGTTGGGCAGCTTTGGTGTGGTTGTGGCGCGCGGTGGTGTGATTTGGGTGTACGGATGAGTGCCGGCTTGGCGCAGCTGGGTTGGCTTTTGACAGCGGAAGATGACAGCAGCGTGTAGGTACCATGGGACGGAATGGATGGGTTACATGTTAATGAAGATATCTCATCTGCTGCGGATTCCCGAGACGGGCGTGGCATGAAGACGGAGACGGAGGGGGACGGGGATGGTTGCGGGCGGGGGGTCCCCGCCAAGATGCTGCCAATATTGATCTCGGAGCTTGGCGGGGTTTGGTGGGGGGTTTATCACGGCCCTCCACCGATTGTGCGGGGTGGATCGGGGTTCGGCGGAGTGCCGGGTTTAGGAAAGTTCAACGTCGTTCCTTTCTTTTCGTAATCTTTTCTCACTCCTAAGTTAGGCGTCTTCGTCAATTTTGACGCTAAGCTCGAGTTTATCATGAAGACTGACTCTAGAGCAAGGTATCTGAGGCTGGGTGGGTTCTATGTGAAGCATGCGTATCATATCCATGCTTTGCCAGTTCGTTGTAACCGGTTTACAAACCCCGTTAGTGTTGTGGTGAGTCGTGCTTCGATTCGGGACTCACAGCGGTGACATGAGTGAACGAATAGCTCTAGAGAATTCAAAGTACCTATCATGAGAAAAACTACAAGATACCAATCATTTCAATATGTACCTCAACCATCCAGTCTCTCTCACAGCATACATCGCCAAACCCGCCGTCGCCACCCCAACAGTACTCAAGATCCAAGTGCCACTACTCCACGTCCCCAGGTCCCACGATGTTGTCCCCGCTCCCGGAGGCACCTCATCATCAAAAGGAGTCTTATGCGCCCTCTCCACGACAGACAACCCTTCCACCCGCGGCCCAGAGACGGAGTAAGCCAGCATTTCCTTTAGAAAGATATCGTCTCCGAGCCGGGGGACCAGCCATCGGAAGAGGTACTTTGAGAAGGGGAAATCGAGACAGAGGAGTGAGCCTGTGCGGCGGCCGGAGAGCATTGTTTTCTCTGCGCGTGCGGATCTGGAGGCGTGGAGGGTGGAGAGGGCTGCTTCGATTGTTTCTTCCGTGAAAGGGGAACCTGGGAAGTCTGGAGACTGGGCGGAGACTGGGAGCTTGGTTAAGGCGTTGATTAGGTGTGCTGCTGATTCGATTGCGCCGTTGCCGCCTTGGGCTGTTATGGGATGGACCTGGGTTCACACATGTTAGTATCATAATGATTTCCATGGGAATGCCCCGCAGGATTTGCAGAGGAAGCAAAAGAAAGGGTATGGAGTTCACTATAGCGACTCTACCTTGTGAGCCGAGTCCCCGACGAGTACAATCCTCCCAACATGTCAACTCGAGAAAACATACTCCTCCAAGGCGACAAGCGCCGACGTTATCCTCGAATCGTACAGCTGCCCAAAGGTCATGTCCTCAGTCATTCGGTCATCAGCATGCGCCGCCGCCAACGCAGCCTCGTCGAGCTTGGTGAAGCGCGGGATATTGGCGCTGCCGTGGTGCGTTTTCCTGAGGGCGACGAACATGAACCAGTAGACGCGGTTTCGCGGGGCTGAGATGGCGACGTAGCTTCGGCCGCGGGAGAAGACTATGTGGTGGTTCGTGCCAGGGGGAAAGTTTGGCGGTTGGTTGCAGATGCCGAAGATGCATTTCGAGGAGGATTGGATTTCTGCGGGGTGGGTGTTAGTCTAGAGATATCTAGCTTTTCTGGATCTTGCGCGGAAGGGGGGCAGCGTGGGCAGGTGGTTTTGTGTACGCTGACTTATTGGTATCTTCTCCCTGTCGAAAGATTTCCGGTCTGGATATCTCGCCGATTCGCCACATTTCTTCCCTGGCAATGCTGTGGACTCCGTCCGCGCCGACGAGGATATCGCCCCTGTATGTTGATCCGTCTTTGGTGTAGACCGTCACTCCGGACTCGGTTGTTTCGATGCCGACTACGCGCTTGTTCGGGAGGACGTTATCCTTATACTTGAGATTATCGTATAGAGTCTGGAGGAGCATTTTTCTATCTAGCCATACACACGGGTACCCCGTTCTAGCGCAAGTATCCATATAAGCCCCTCGGATCCGAGAACGACTATCTAAAGAGGGACAAACGTACTCTTCTTCCAAACGCTTCAGAGATGGTGACGGGTCCTGAAGAGTACAGCAGCCGACCGCCGACTTCTCTACAGTTCATGCGGTGATTACAGTCCCCCGCCAGCTCGCGGATAGCACCCGAGTTGCTCGAGGATGCGCAGACCGTTGGGGAGGAGGCCGATGCTGGCGTCAACTTGGGGTGCGATGGAGGGGTATGCTTCGAGGAGGATGTATTCCATGCCGTCGAACTTCTCGAGCATGTTTGCTAGGGTGAGGCCGGCTACACTGCCGCCGATGATGATGATTTTGAGACCCATGGTGGGTGGTGGTGGTGATAGTCAGTGAGGGGGGTTTGGTTGGTCGATTGAGTATTCGATGTAGGCAGCGGCACTACTGCAGAGATACCGAGACTTCTGTGGAGGTGAGACTATCTTTATAGAATGACATGAAGGTCATGGTGTGGGCTTGGGTCTCATGTCATTGAGAGTTGACGACGTATTCTGCTGCGGTTGAGTTACACTATGGAGGAGCCCGGATCTTGGCAACCTCCGCGTGCCCAATATCAGACATGATAGACTCGACCTGGTTACAACACGTATTCTGCATAACTGACACGGGAAGGAAGTGGTCTCTACGGCTGAGAACATATAGTTACAGTAAAGCCTCCAAGGGTGCCATGTGATCCAGGCAATAATGCCTTTTGACTGAGTCTCTCGTGGACATCGTGGTCGTGCGACAGCTCGCAGACCGGCCGACTGCAAGATTCAAGGTGGAACACGAGAGTGATGAAATGCGCCTGTATTCATGAATGTTTAACACTGGCGTTCGTCAACCTGGCAGCATAGCTGTAAATGCTTCGTATCAAGTCCTCCCGGAACAGGTACTGCGTTGAGGTGGCATAGTTGAAAGAAGGTCCCTGGAGGAATTAGCCAAAAGACCCGAACCAAGTCCTCTCTAATCGCATGATCCGTCATCAAAGCCTTCTCGAATATGGCAACTACTCAGGTAGACTCGTTGATTGTTATTCCAGTCTGCGTTGAGGCTGCTTACTCGGGCTGTAGATAAGCATGCCGAACACTTTCATCCGCTCTAGTTTCATGCTGGCCTAGGGCCGCTGAAGAAACGAAGAGCTTCACACCCAGTGGCCATCATCACGAACCCAAGGCGGCAGCCGCGAATTCCGACTCCTATCAGCCACGGGCCCCGCGCGCACCGTCATGTAGACTCTCGAATGCCTCTATCGGACCTTTATCATTCGGGTAGCTCAGATGCCCGTCGAAAAGCCGGAGTCTTGGTTGACGGGCCGCGGTGACGGACCGCTGTACGATTAGAGTACGGGGCATGATTTACGAGTCTGCAGGGACCTCATCCACCCCGCGCTATCCATGGATCGCGCGGTTGTTGACCACTGGCTTGACTGAGCGTTCCAAGCCGATCTAGGGTTTGGTGAATACGAATTGTGAGGTGACCATGCTAGCTTGTGATTCCCTATATTGATTCCCAACGAGGTACCTAGCAAAGTAGTTCGAACCTTGTCAGTTGAGATATGGCGTGGATAGTATTCACAAATAGAACCGTGAGTAAATATATCAAAATGGCTTATATCTTCGTTGGAAAATGGATTCATTGGCTCTATTCTACGTGATACTGAGATGGCAAACATAGAGACGCCGTGCTTCAGGTGACCGCCGACAGGTGAGTATCGGCGCAATGTTGGAGTGCAATCGAGAAGGGTTTCTTAGGTCAGTAAAGCTTGTAATGCAACACGTAATTCCACTCACTCGTTTGAATTGTAGCCATGTGCACTCACATTTTCTTCACCTGCTCTTCCCATCATCACGCTTGCCGCTCCGGCACTAGGCGAAGCGGTTGCTGCCCGCTTCAACAAGTTTACAACATCATCCCATGCTCATATCTAGGCAAATGATGTATCAACGAATAGTTTCTTGATGAATTGACATGATGCTGAAACCATTATGGACATAATCTAGCTGGGGCGCAAACACGAGCTTTCGCCCCAGACGATGGTGAATGAGACTACGAATTGAGCCTTTTCGCGGCGACTCTAGAGATCCATTCCAACTTACATGTCAATGAATTGACTAGCCACTCCGATTCAATTGGTTGCTTGTCTAACATTGATATACCGGTTTCGAGGAGCGAGGGTGCGTGTTCATGCTGAAGACGGTCTAAATACTTGTACAAAGCTTCCGCCACATCTCCCTGTCTACTGGGAAGCAAATAGGCGATCGAAACCCTAGCACTAACAAGATTTGCGGACTTCAAGAAGCAGGTATTTTTCCGGATAGAAGCTAGGATAAATTGAGGTTGCCAGAAACTCCATGATGACTTTTGGGACATTCGGGCAGAATTGACAAAGTGTTCCTTCCAATAGTGCAAATGCCGTACTGCCACAGTGGGGCTACACAAAAGTCTGAGAACAACCCGCCCACCATCTGCACGTCCCGACGCGTCTTCCTCCATACACCTCATCTCAGCTCTTATCCCCTTCATCGCTTGAATGGACGCCGATGCCGACTTACGCGCTTTCGCAACTCGACTTCGAGGTGAACGGAGTTCTGGCTTCGAACTTAAAGAACATGAACGGGTGGCAATTATTGCCCTTGTTCTAGGTGGCCGAAGCTATCGCAATGTCGCAGCGATTTTCGGCTGCTCACTCGGGGCGGTCGCGTCGACGATTCGACGATATAATAAAGATCAAACTTTCAAGGTAGCACCCCGGAAAGGCAGACCAAAGAAAATCATGGCCGACACGTAAGTGAACGACATACCTTTGACTCAATCTTGGGACTGCAGGTTTAACATCTGAAAAGACAACCTAATGAAAAGCAATCTGACACGAGCCCGGATGATAGTTGAGTTTGCTCTTCCGCTTGTCGCAGCGATATCCCTAGCAACTCGGGCTTTGTATATGGAATGGCGTCTCACCACGCTCTGAAGTCTTGCGTGAAGACCAAATGGTCAGGAAAATCCACTACCAAGCCGAGTTTGGCGGATGCAGGACACGCAACGCCTAGCCTCATCGCTGATATCGCTTATTGCCCAACGCCGTGGATGGAAACTCGTTTTCATATTAATCCGTAACCTCATGGAGTTCTTATACAACTCTCTTACTCATCCGAATCGCTTCCCAAGTCCTCAGCGAAGAACTCCTCGGCGGCATGCTCGCCTCTCTTAGCCATGACCTCCACGGGCTCCTCCTCATCCTCAGGCTCAGTGGAAACGCGTCTCTCGAGATCACCGGCCTCCTCCAGGTCGGCCGCCACGAGGTCCGCGTTTGAGAGCTCTTGTCTCTTGATGACGATATCGGGCAAGTCAGCCACCGCCGCCCGGGCGAGAACGGGAGCCTGTGGGACATGGTATTAGCGTTACGGCTCAGATGTCGGAAGGTACTGCAGAAGGGAGCGATGCGCAGCCTGTATTGCGGGAAGGATTTTGAGACTGCTTACCATGGTGAGGGCTACACCTGAGAGGCTAAGTCCGAGAGAGTTCACACCAGTAACGGCGACCAGGCCGACAGCAAAGAATGATTGAAGCTGCATCTTGACTAAACGGGTTGGAGATGATGGTATTATAAGTCGATGGTAATATTATCTGGATTGGAATAGAAGCAGATCTGTAATGGGAGAAAACGTACACCAGAAATACCAAAGCAAGCGCATGAACATCAACTTAGCTATATACCATTCACAGAACCGGGAGGTTTTCGAGAGGCGTGCGGTCGCCCACATGCCGTTCAAGCGAACATCTGAACTTTGCCAGATGACGAATTCGACACTGTTGGGAAACCAGCGTCAGTGTCAAAAGTATAACCGCAACAGTCCGTTTCACATGTTTTGACCAACCCCCCAAAAGGGACAGGCCCTGCGGCGCTGCAGCCTGCAGCCCTGGGGAAGAAAAAGGTCAAGGCATGCCCGCCGCGGGGAGGGGGAGCCTGAGAGGGGGGAACAAGGTCCTAGTGCACAGCTGCACCACTGCGCAAGACGGGCAACGCGGCCAACAAAACTCTGACTGCCCGCGTCGCGGTGCTCTCGACCTGTCAGATCTTCGTCTCATGGATTGCGAGCGACCTTTTACAGAACTCTCAAACCCACTGACATCCTTCAGAATTCGCTGCTCGGACGGGGGTCACTGAAGCTACGCGGGCCCTGTCAATACCCCCTCAGTCCCCCAGGCCCCTCGTGGCCCCCCTAAAGAGACCGAAGGGGAAGAGGTGGGATGAGACCGCAGAATTCGTGTCGGAGGGGCCAACGACACAGTACCTGGGCAGCTGTGGTGAAACAAGACAGGTTTCTCGTGGTGCGACGTTTGTGTGAGGGTGCCAAGCCTGGGTTGCGCTGTTGCACGACTCTCTCTCCAGGGATCCACTTTCGCCCTCGCCGTATCCGTAATCGTCAGATTGAATGAGGGAATTTGGGGGTGACAGTTGCCGGTTGCCGGTTGCCGATTGAAGGTCGGCATATCGGCATGGTCGAAATGCATTGCATGCCGATATGCGTTGAACGACCAGTGTTAGTCGGCAATTGGAAGTTGTCCAAGGCAGGGCAGTTACTGGAATCGTCACACAGGTTCCAGCATTAAACGTAGTTCAGCCAATTTCGTCCGAGGTAGCAAGTTTGTTATATACATCAACCCAACAGCATGGCACGAGGGAATGCAGACTGGAAAAGAGCCTTAATCGTGAAGTTATGTTCCTATGTTCATATGTTCATAGTAATCTGTTTTGATCCGAAGATGTCCAACGCTTTGCAAGTGGATGAGATGACAAGTTCTACTCTAAACCCGTCTAAGCCATCAAGGTTCTCTTTGAGCCCCCCTATAAGACAAGGATTCTAGTACAACTCCATCTTTTCTAAATTTTCGAGATGAATCAGTCCGTTGGCAGGCTGAGAATCTGTCAGTATTGTATCGACAATGCTAAGTATCACTCGAGGAAACTTACCGGAATGTATTGCCTCAGCTTGACGCCTGCTTGCCGGAACACCGCCGCTGTCTCCGTATCCATGCTGTACCCGTGAGCATACACAACCTCGTCGATACCGACCTGACAGATCTTGATGCTGCACGTCAGACAAGGGCAGGTATCGCAGTACAACACGGCGCCCTCGCGGATGCGCTCGCGGCCAGCCTCCAGCAGGGCATTCTCCTCGGCGTGGATGCACAGGCACGTAGCGAGGCCGACGCCAGAGGAGTTACCCGAGTTGCAGCGGGAGCAGCCGCCGTCGGAGCAGTTCTGCAGGCCGCGGGGCGTGCCGTTGTAGCCGGTGGAGATGACGCGTTTCTCGCGCCCGACGAGGACGGCCCCGACGCGGCGCTTCATGCAGTTGGAGCGCAGGGAGGCGAGCTCGGCCAGGGACATGAAGTAGGCGTCCCAGGTGGGCCGGAGGCGGACCGGGTTGGCGAGATCGAGCTTGCCGAGGGTGGCGTAGAGGTGCGCGATGGAGGAGGAGGTGTTGAGGAGGCGGACGGTCGCGCGGGAGATGAGCGGTTGCAGGCCCTGTTTTGGGTCGTAGAGGTGGGTGTCCGAGGCGAGGGCGAAGGACTCGAGGGTGCAGTGGGGGTTGTGTAGGGCGCGGAAGCGGGCGTGGCGGACTGTCAAGGGAGCGTCGACGGAGATGAGCATGAAGAAGGGGCGTCTGTGGAGGACATCGAGAATGGCTTCGTTGTGGACATCTGTGGTGACGAAACGTGATTGCCAACGGGTCGTGACGTATTCCAACAGGTCGTCGGCGGAAGAGAAGACGAGCTCGTTGGGGTAGTGAGAGTGAACGCCGTTGGTACGCGGTTGTCCGCTCAAGATGGTAAGAGGAGCGGGAGTGACTGCGGGCTTCTGTTGTTGTTTTGTCTCTCTGTCTGCGTTATTGCTGATAGCCACGGCGGTATCTATGCTCTCGTCGGGGGCCAATTGAGGGTGAGGGCATTCGGCCTTGCTGTGACCTTTCTCGTTGCAGTTGAAGCATACGCCCGCCAACGGTCCTGACCCTGCTCCTTTATTCTTCCTCTTCTTGTTCTTTGAAGGGAACTGCTGCTGGGAGCCCGCGGCATTGTTGCCGGTGGTGGACTGAGAGAAACCTCGCTCCGGCTCTGGCCGGGGTTCCGGCGCCGGGGCAGGTTTGGAGACCGGAGCCTCTTCCCGGGGTGGAGTTGCGGTAGGGTCCGTCAAGCGGAGCAATCTGAAGCCATGATGCTCGACCAGGTATTGAGCAACGCTCTTCTTACCGGCACAGATGCCTTGTGATTTGTCAGAATGATGTTTTCGATTGCTGAAGTGGCTTAAGTTTGACTCAGGGGTGCGACTTACCACCGCAGATTCCAATGAGCATCTTGGCTAAGGTACCCTGACAGACCGAATTTGTTTGGGAGACTAGTTGGATGAGCAAAGCCGTATGAATCTGCACTCATCCGCAGATCGTCAAGCTCCGATGTGCAGGTCTGCCGGTTGCGCAAGCTCTTCACATCAACCCGGCAACAAGTGTCCAATTGAAAAGTCGCGATCTGAATCCTTTGCATGAACGCGTCCCCACGCGTAAAGCCGTTTTTGCAGCTCGGGGCCCGATCAATTGGGTGTCCCCCGCGCTCGTCGGGTTGAGTTGCTCCGACATTTAGCCGGCGGGACCTGCAGAGCATGACACAATCATCCCGTGGGCACAGAGCTCCCGTCCCCCCACCTTTGGTCGTCCAGGTGGGCAGCCTGGCGGGGGAGAAGCTACCCGAACTGGCACCTGCCCAAGGTGTTTGCCCTACCTCATCTGTCAGACAACCATCTTACCCTCAAAGGAAGCTCTCACCAGCCTTGTTCTTGTGACTTGCTGACTCCAACAAGTCGCCGCTTGACTGCCTGTCCTCGTGACTCTTTCCAAGTTGAATTTCCAAGCATCCCTCAGGCACAGCGTCACCGCCCGGACCCCTCCGCTTTGTCCGGAGACCAGTCGGAAGTGCGACCTGCCTGTTCCGTCATATTGTAAGCTCTCGACGCTTTTGAGTCATTTCGACCCAACCTACGATCTGCTTTCGGTTTGCGCTCCTACATACCCAGATCTCCGAAGCATACCCAGCATTTAGGACATTCTCCTGGTGTCGATATCGTAGCATAGCCCGAATACCGAGTTCCGGCGCATAGCATCACGAAGACTGCCCTCTTTTCCCACCCGAGCGCCTAAAAGTGCGCGCCCACCATGGCAGCAATTCAATACGCGCCCTTCTCCTCCGAGATCGAGCTCCCGTTCTACGCGGCTCTCTTCTCCTCAAAGCTCGAACATGATAAGCTAGACGACTCGGCGCGGCGTGTGCTGGGTCAGTACACTACCCTGCCTGTGGAGCCAGGCCAGAGCTGCAAGATGTCCATCCTTGGGAATGCTCTCACCAGTGACCAGTAAGGCGCCCCTGCAGAGCTCCAGAGTTTACTTCACGTAGATCAGTTTGGGACTGACGTGGAGAGCAGGCCCAACGATGAGCATGTCCGCGGCGAGGGCTGGATCAAGAACGTCAATACGATCGAAGACTTCAAGAATACGGACAAGCAAGCCATGCTTAAAATGGCGGCGAGACATGTGAGGTTGCATCGTAGTTCCATGAGTATCTGAGCGAGTTCTGACGATCATGCTTTCAGGTTTGGGACGCCATCAACGACGGCACCATCTACTCCGTACCCTCCCTCCTCTCCTCCTTCGCGATCCTCTCGTACGCCGATTTGAAGAAGTACAAGTTCACATACTGGTTTGCGTTCCCAGCACTGCACTCAGACCCTCAGTGGAAGCGGACAGGACCGATCGGTCGCCTTGATCCGAAGGAGAGTACGGCGCTGGTCGATCGCGTGGGCACGTGGCAAGCCAATCGCGACAAGAGGCAGAATGGATTCTTCCTCGCCAAGAAGGCGAGAGGTGTGGATGTTAGCGATTTGGATAAGGACGCGAATAGCGATCTCCACGACCTCAACGATACGTTTGGCTATGTATGGGAGGTTGCCAACCTCGGAGACTTTGAGAACGGCTTCTTTGACGACGTCGCTGAGGAGGACCGATACGTTTCGTTTGTCGACCCGTCGACGTACCCCGAGAACCCATCATGGCCACTGCGAAACCTGCTTTGGCTTGTTCGGCAGCGGTTCCGGCAGACAAAGGTCCAGATTCTGTGTTACCGCGATATCAGATCTAGTAGGCATGCGGCGAGAAGCATCATCCTGCCGTTGGAGATGGACCCAGTTGAGCCACTTGCAGTCGCTGAAATGCCCAAGGTCACAGGCTGGGAGCGAGACGGAGAGGGCAAGCTACGAGCCAGGATCGCCAACCTTGGGGAGTACATGGACCCGACACGACTTGCCGACCAATCCGTGGACCTCAACCTCAAACTCATGAAATGGAGGATTTCGCCGAACCTGGACTTGGACACCATGAAATCCACCAAGTGTCTGTTGTTAGGTGCCGGCACGCTAGGAAGCTACGTTTCCAGAAATCTCATGGGCTGGGGTGTCCGGAAGATCACGTTTGTGGACTATGGCCGCGTATCATATTCGAATCCCGTGCGGCAGCCCTTGTTCGAGTTCGAGGACTGCTTGGAAGGCGGCAAATTCAAGGCAACGCGGGCGGCAGATGCCCTGAAGAAGATTTATCCCGGTGTGGAGAGCGAGGGCCACGTCCTATCGGTTCCTATGTTGGGCCACCCTTTTACGGACGAGGCTAGGAGTAAGGCAGACTACGACAAGCTGAAGCAGCTGATTGACGAGCACGACGCCATCTTCCTTCTGATGGACAGCCGAGAGTCGAGATGGCTCCCGAGTGTTCTGGGCAAAGCAACCGGCAAGATTGTGCTGAACGCCGCGCTTGGCTTCGACTCTTTCGTCGTGATGCGGCACGGCGCTGAACCGACCGATGTTCAGCCAGAGGATAAGGAGCGTAAGACCCTGGGATGCTACTTCTGCAATGATGTAGTAACACCAGCCGACGTAGGTAGATGTCCCCCCCTAAATCGGTTTCTCCCACTAACATCTTGCAGTCGCAAAAAGACCAAACCTTGGACCAGCAATGCACCGTTACAAGACCAGGTGTCGCAGCGATTGCATCGGCACTCCTAGTCGAACTATTCGCGAGTCTGCTCCAGCATCCCCTCAAGCAACACGCGCCAGCGCCCCAGACCTCGGCAGACGAGAAGGATCCCGTGGACCATGCCCTGGGATTGGTACCTCATACCGTCCGCGGTTACCTGCATAACTTCAACAACAAAGTGATTCGCGGAGAGTCGTACCCGTGCTGCAGTGCCTGTGGTCCTCCGATTCTCGAGGCCTACCGGAACGACGGCTGGGGCTTCGTCAAGAAGGCGCTCTTGGAGAAGGACTTTGTTGCCGAATTGTCTGGGCTCGCGGAGGTACAGCGGGAGGCTGAGAGGCGGGCGGCGTCTATGGACTGGGAGGAGGAAGAAGATGGAGCGGATGATGGGGACGGAGAGTTGATCTGAAATGCCAGGTCTTGGACAATGAACAGATTATGGACGATTTTTACAATGAGCTTTCACGGCGGGATAGACGAGGCGTTTGAATCCTGTTACAGGATGCTGTTGGCGTTTTGGCATTGATAGAGTCTGTTGAGACTTTTCTTCCCGAGGTTTTCAACTCTTTTGAGTCTGGCGAACCTGCATATTTGCCACTTTCCAGTTTAGCAAGATGGATGGAACATCATTTTAGCTCTTGAATGGATGTGTTCCAAGAAGCTCATTGACGATACTTTGACCCACCTGTTTCACGGTGATGTTTCCATCTATTAATATTGACCTCTATCTCAACACAAGAGCTCAGGGCTCTGCCTAAGGTACTTTAGACTTTAGGTACGGAGATGCATTGTGCACAACGAAAGTTTGGGCCTTAATGCGAGAGATGTGCAGATGACAGGGTTCCCCACACTAGCTGACCCTCTGCTTCCCGCCTGTGACCGACGGATGCAACCCTCCGAATCCCCAAAATTCCGTATCATCCTAACACTTTTGTGCCATTTGTAGACATGAATCTGTTACTGGATCAGAGCCATCAACGTACCTGCTATTCTTGGAGGGGAGCCTCCGCTGATTTTCCACAGCAGCCACAGCTTCCCCTGCGGCACGCCCAGGTTCCCGAGGATGCCTATCTGGAGGATTACCTAAGTGCGCTAAGGCACGGGGGTTGTGCATTTCTTTTAGTCAGGTGTGCCCGGGAGGTAAGACAAGAGCAGCCGACCATTCCAGGTTAGAGGAAACACTGTGTTCCGTCCGTATTCATCTCATCGTCGGCCGCTCTTGTACTTTTTTGATATTGTATCATCATCTGTGTTTCATGACTCTTTACGTCCGCGTTTATTCATCTATATCGTACTCATTGCATCGGAAGATGTAGGAAAACTGATCAAAAGCCTTGATTACCTACGTATCGAATGCTTTGAGACCGTGTTGGGGAGTGTGGGACGATTCCGGCGACTTGAGGTTGGAGGAGAGAAGACGACGACCAGCAACGGATTCATCGGGAACCTCGGCTTTGGGCTTGAGACTCATCGCCGTCGCGCGTAACGGTGCTTGATTAGTATTGTGATCAATACGAGCGCGCGAAAACCGATTGCTCTACAACCGCAGTAAGACACGCTCACATCCACGAATATGCTGCGCTCCATCATCCGGCGCCTGGCGTCGGACCAGCCCGAGTCCGTCAACGACTACATTGGCGTCGTAGTCCCGCTCGAGGAAGCTCACCTGCATAGCCACTCGGCCCGGACTGGAAAATGCGAATTCGAGGAACGGCCGAGTGACAACGACGACGACGACGATGCAGAGGATGACGGCAAGGACCAGAGTGAGAGCGCGGGGATGCTGGAGATGAGCGCTGCCGAGTACACCATTGAGGGTCTGAGGAAAGAGGTTAGGAGAGGTGGACAGGGGCGGTGGACTGAGTACGAGTGTGAGTCTTTCATCTTGGAAGCGTTGAAGAATCCGATGGAATGGTGAGATGGGTGCTGATGAGGAGGATAGTGAAGTCGAAGCTTATCAACAAGGCCATCCAGGATATAGGCATGGGGCGGTATAACTGGCAGCTCTTTGTCCTTTGTGGATTTGGCTGGTTCGCGGATAAGTGAGTACTTCCGTCACCTTATGATGAAAATAATGCTGACGGATTTACTAGTTTGTGGATGCACGTAAGTTCAGCTTCAATCTTGTTGCCGGATTAGCAACCTCACTTGTCTTCAAGCGGTACTAACAGCAACTCTAGGGTGTTGCGCTCACACTGCCGTCTCTTTCTGCAGAATTTGGCATTTCAGAACAACGTGTACGCTACACAACGTCGTCCATCTTCCTCGGGCTCTGCTTCGGCTCCTTCATCTGGGGCATCGGCTCTGATGTCCTCGGTCGCCGCATCGCCTTCAACCTCACTCTGCTCATCACCGGGGTCTTTGGTATCCTGTTGGCTTTCGCACCGACGTGGGGCTGGGTGAACTTTCTCTTCGCGGCTCTCGGCTTCGGTGTAGGCGGGAATCTGCCAGTGGATGGCGCGTTGTTCCTCGAGTTCTTGCCGGATGCGTCGAGCAGTCTGCTGACATTGCTATCGGTGTGGTGGCCGGTCGGGCAGCTGTCTTCGTCGCTGGCGGCGTGGTATTTCATTGCCAACTGGCCTCCCGAACAGGGATGGCGAAGATTCGTTCTAACGATTGGGTTGATTACGTTCATCATGTTTGTCGTGCGGTTCTTCGTCTTCCGCCTGTTTGAGTCTCCAAAGTTCTTGCTCTCGAAGGGGCGTCAATCCGAAGCTATTGCCGTCGTACATGGTATCGCCTCTCGCAACGGCGCAAAGACTTGGTTGACCGAGGAGATCTTGGATGCCGTCGTTGATGGCGTGACTGATGAGGATGAGGAACATTCAAGAGGTGGCCGCTCAGGTGTGTTCCGCAGCTCGGGGGTCGCCGCGAACGCTCTCCGCGAGAGGATGAAGGCCTTTTCCGCGGACCGGCTTCGACCCCTCTTCAAGACTCGGACCCTTGGCCTCGCCACTGTTGTGGTCTGGTTCGTCTGGGCGACGATTGGCATGGGCTATCCCCTCTTCAACGCCTTTCTCCCACAGTACCTCTCCCATGGCGGTGCCGCCCCTCCGCCTGAGGACTCCCCAGACGCAGGAGTTACACCAATCACGCCAGACACATACCGAACCTACGCAATCACCTCTGCCGTCGGCGTGCCAGGCAGCCTGTTGGCAGCCTACCTAGTCGACCAGAAGTCCCCCTGGCTCGGGCGCCGCGGCACGCTCGCCTGTTCGTCCTTTGTCTCGGCCATCTTCCTCTTCATGTTTGTAAAGTTTGGTACCTCGCCCGCCTCGCAGCTGTTCTTCTCCTGCGTCGAGGCCTTCTCCCAAAATATCATGTACGGCGTGCTCTACGCCTTCACGCCAGAGATCTTCCCCGCGCCGGTGCGTGGGGCCGGAACGGGCGTGGCGAGCTTCTTGAACAGGGCGATGGGGCTTTTGGCGCCGTTGCTGGCGGCGAGCATGCCAGGGGATGGGGTCACGACGCCGATTTATCTGTCAGGGGCGTTGATTTTGGCTGCATTTGTCGGGATGTGCCTGATTCCCATCGAGACGAGAGGTCGGCAAAGGTTGTGATTATTGTACTATCTAACAATAGAGCCCGATGCCTAAAACTTTTTTATTTGTCAAGAGTCCATGATTTTTTTCTATTTTATGGTAGCCGTGTGCTCTGGCTACATTGCCTTCCCGAGGAACTCAACAATGAGTCGGCTCAGTTCTGAAGGAGACTTCGTGCGGAGATGGGAAAGGATGGAAGACCATGAGCCTGCCAACGTACCTACATATCCAGTATCCTGAACCGGCAGTTTCCTCGTTGGTTCCCAGCAACCTGCCCCATGCTTGCCACAAGCCGATTGCTCTTCCCTTAATTCGAGATGACTGTGGGTTGCCCGTCTAATCATTCTGGATGGATCGATCCAAGCCATGTCCCCATCAACATCCTAGCATCCTGGGTAACCAACTAAAGCAGAAGAGGCGCACAGGATTCTCTCTATTCAATTTAAATCATCCTGATTATCCTGCACTCTTCTTAGTCCGACAAACAAAGTCTCCAAGCATGCATACCGGGGTGCAAATGTTCAACGCCATCCCTCGGCCAAAGCAGCTGACCTGCAAGATACGCAACCACTGGGTTATCGGAATGTGCTGTGTCGAGGTTTTACCGGCCTCTGATGCGATGGTCACCGTTGTACCGCGAACAAAGTACGGCAAAGTGTTAGGATGTTTGTCTGACTGGCCATCGATGACCCTATCCGAGAAAGCCGAAAAAACGGCCCCGTGGCTCATTGACGCGTTCATCAAGCGGAGCAACGTCCCTTCCTGCTCCCATTTCAGAAATACCGAGGCAATTGCACCATGGACATGGTCTTGTGAAGATCCAGCGCTAGCTGTCGCTCTTGGACACAGACTCAGGCAATTAGGCGTCAAAGAAGAACTCTGTCAGATCGGCGACAGATGCTCTCGCGCAGAGGTCAAATCCTTACACAAGATCTTCTCTTATGTCAAGCCGGGAGTTGCCCAGGTACTTACTCGACCATGCAAAGAAACTTCGCTTCACCATACTGACACTCAAGCTCAAAGCTGGCCATATTACCTGGCGACGATTCGAGATGCCATGGCTGTGGCTACTCCAGGGAAGCCCTTCGGGAATTGCAAACGTGCTCTGGGTGCCTTAAAGCGTGGTACCACTCGACAGAATGCCAATCTCAGCATTTGCAGGCTCATATGCCCGTCTGTGTTGTTCAAGGCAGAAAGAACGACGACACTGCAACACTAACTGCTCACGCCACAGATTTGAGTGCAATTGGCTATTACAACACTATCGCGCGGGTGTCGCCCGACGCTCAAGTGCTAATGCTTTCTCTCAACATGTCCATTCCTCATGCGAAGGCCAGATCAGAAGCCTTAACGTAAGCTTCAATTCGCCACAATCCCTCAAAGACAGTAGTCTAACAAGCCGCAGAACACCCCTTCTACGCTTGGCACTGACTGGCAAAGACACGCCAGGCAATATGCAGCTGCTTTTCGGCCCCAACTAGTCAAGGGACTTGGAACCAGTTCTCGAATCATACCGCCTTACCGCTCTTCTTGGACTTGGCGCCCCCTCTTACTACTGCCGGGCGCACGATGCTTGCTACAGAGGTACACCTTATATCTCGCCGAATCCCGCAACTGAGGCCGAGGAGAGCAAGCTTACGGAGCTACGAGAGATGCAGGAGGAAATACGCCACGAGATGGAGAACTATGCTGAGCCTTTGCCCGATGCCATCTTGGCTGCGCTGTCTACGGCACGATACCCCTTGGCTGAGTGGGAACTGTATCAAATCGCCAACATGAACATGGTTATGGAGCATGACGCCTCTCTATCCCATTTCTTTTCGAGAATACAGAATGACGAGGAGCTCCATGACTCAAGATGTCTCAAAAGTGTATGATGACAGAGTCGTCAAAGTCAACATGCGTTCCTTGACAAAGTTGGAGTGGGACGAAACTATGATCAAGTAGCTATACCTTAGAGATGGCGACAATGATTGCAGTCAGACAAGAGACAAGCCTTGAAAAAATGTGATTGAACAACGAGTGCCTCGCCGTAATTTTGTTCTACACTATCTACATCAACACCTTCGCAAAAGCATCCCCTAGTCCACGTTCCACCAGCCACCCCTCCACAGCCTTCATGTCTCCCCGGTTCGCCCTCTGCCCCCTCCTCTCTCCTACAGAGTCTGTAATCTCTGACATGTCCGCAAAGACTCTCCTCGAAATGTCCTTTTCGCGATGCCTCTCGCTGACCTTCTTGTGATGCGCCGGGATATCGCCCCAGCTCTCCGTCTTGATGAACTTCATGTAGTCGTCGATGCTCTGCGACCCGCCCTCCAGACACAACAGTCCCGGTTTTCCGGCGTAGAGAAAGCCTGTGAGGTGGTACGCGGGGGCGTTGATGATAAAGTCGTCCCGCTTGGAGCGGGTTGAGATGGAGGGGAAGTAGAACCACACTCGCACCAGGGGACCTGCGTCGGCTGTGGCGGCAGCATCTGAGATTGCCGATTCGGCTTCTGCTACTGTTTTTGCTTCTTCGAGGTGGGTGACTGCTGTTTCGTTTATTGCGTCTATGATGCTGAAGAGGTCCTCGTCGCCGTCTGGGATTTGGGCGTTGAGGTTTGCTGTTGCTGCGCGGTTGAGCCATGGTGGCTGGAGGATCCTGACTTTTATATGGGGTGGTTCTTCTGGTGGTGTGTCGGATTTGCCTTCGCATGAGAAGGGTACGTTGATGTCTAGTTGTAGGGTTTTTGGTGATGAGGGGTCTTGGTCTGGTTCCGGGACGGTGAGGGTGAGGAGTATGGTCACTGTTGGCGCCCGACTCAACGATGAGATTGTGATGCCACTGCCTTGTTCGATATGCGTCTTTAAGAGTTGTAGTGATTGTTCGGATTCCTTGTCAATTGAGGCCTCATCTTCGGTGGGGTACATTGCTGTGAGGAGATCGATTTGGCCGATTTGGTGTTCGATCAGATCGGGTGGTAAGAGGTGCCATGATGATGCGGCCGCCATTATGAGTGAACTTTTTCTCAACCTGCAGTTTATTCTTCGGAGTCTTGGACGTCGATTTCAGTTTCCTCGTCTCTGTGACTCCCTCGTGGCGCTGGTTAAACTGCCATGACTTGGTGAGTGAAGGTCCATTCTGAGAGATTTTCGAACCTCAGTTGAGCCACGCTTTTCAGCCACATGCGCCACACTTTGGGTTCTCATGATGCTCGGCAGTCTTACGAATTATTTGATCGATTGTTTGCTGATTTGGCTTCGAGAGAATAGTGAAATAGACTTGTACCAGTAAATTCTTGGATTTCACCTATGGCAAGTGCAAGATCTGACCGTCTTCCAGTATAACCCATTGTGGTTACGCCAGATGATGACAGGAAAAGGTGAATAGCAGGATCTCACAAGGAATGAAGCCAAGGTCTAATCTTGGAATTGTAAAATGGGGTGGAACCCCCCCGAATGATGATCTCCTAAAAGTCTACACACGTCTGTTGTCTGCTCTATCTGTTACCCTTCGCACCAGCAGGTGCATCAACCCTGCGTTTCTGGAACTGCTTGCCAATCGCATCTCTGACCATCGGGTCCGCCCTAATGGTGTTCTGCACCAACCAGTCCTTGACCTTGGCACGTACGCTGCTGAGCGCCTCCTTATCGCCAATAAACGGGGTCATCTCCATCTCCAACAACCTGCTCGTCTCGCCGTCCAGTCCGCGAGCAATCATCTCGAGCCGCTGGAGGCCCTCGTCGACGGCAGCCGCTGAGCTCTCGGCCGCTTTCTGCGCTGCCTGGCCCTGGGAGTTCAACAGAGGACCGAGCTGGCCAAAGGCAATGTAGATCGTCACGGCAGCCTGACGTGCAAGCGAAACCAGCTGGAACTGGAGATAGGGTGGGCGGCGCAGAGCTGTACTCAGCACCGTGTTGAAGATGGCCAGGAAAGGAGGCATCTCGGGCCGCGTGACAACGATGAGCTCCGCCACAAAGAAGGTGAGGAGGATGATCCACCGCCAGTATCGTCCCCAGTCGAGGTATCCCAGCAGACTCAAGCCGTAGGTCGCAGCGGCAGCGATGCCGTAGTACGGAACCGTACCCTGCATGATACCGCGCGCGACAAAGTCGTGAATGGTCTTGCAGCCCTGCCAGGCACCGACCTCCGGACCGAAGCGCTCGTAGGCGAAGCGACGGGCAGGGTCGGACAGGGTCTCGGAGGCGGTCTTGAGGTGCATGAAGCGCGCTGCGGCGGCGCCCGTGTCGGCGCCATTGGTGCCTGCTTTGTCTGGGTGGTAGACGGCTGCGAGCCTGCGGAATCGGGACTTGATGATACGGACGGGGGCGCTGGCAGCGACGTCGAGGTCGGTGTAGAAGGTTCCTTGCAGGCGCAAGGTGCGGTCGGCCTCGATGAGGGTGTAGAGGAGGTAGAAGGAGACGACGAGGATGTGGATTCGGCGGCGGTGGGTTGCGTATTTCGCTGTGCCGGGCTGGGGTTTTGGATCGCCGGCGCGAATGGCTAGGCCGTAGTAGATTGCTTGTACCCAGCCGGTGACTAGCTATGAGAGAGGTCAGTCGCTGTGAGGTTCAACTTTGTGGAGGGGCGGTTCTCGGGCAGGCATCACGTACATTGGGCAAGAAGGCCCAGCCTAGGAGGGAAAGAACGTTTGACATGATGATAATCTGCGCATCCCTACCGTGCGATCCGAATGTCTTGCGCGGGGCCGAGCGAGTGTGGGTGCTCGCGAGGTTGTCGAGAGAAACTTGATCAACAGTCGATGGTTGCGATGTCAACTCGCGACCGAGCTTACTGACTTGCTGGCGTTTTCGACCATTGCCAACTGCCAAGAGCTGACCTCATTATTTGTGGGACTTTGAGCTAGGGTATGATCACTGCCGATATGTGGGCGGACCAACGTCTCGCTTATGTCATCCGAACTCATCGTCTCATCTCCAACTGCATGAATATTCAATTTCGCAACTTGGAAGTCATCACGTGGCCGTTTGGCATGCTTTTGAACCCATTGTTTTCGATTTGGCTTGTATGATATAGTCCATTTCTAGCAGCTGACTTGTTCTTTGACTTAATCCTGTCAGCGCTGGTCAGAGAGACCGGTGCTCATAAACTTTCACCGTCAGGCTTCCTCCTCTACGAGACTAAGATGGCGAACGTGATTTCCTACCTATTTTCGTTTCTCGGACGTAATACCAACCGCCACGATCTGAGATATAGATATTCAGACTTCTACCGGTTATGACTCAGTATTTCCTAGACTCGAGCAATGCTTGACCGCCAATTCGAATGTTGGACTACAGAGTTTGAAGCTAAGGCACTCCGCAAAGTCTACGGAGGCAGTCCCCACGATAGAAGTGAACAGCGAGATATAAAAAAGACGAAAGCTTTGATCGGTCATAGGACTTTGTCACCTCTTGGCGTTTCCCATTTTACCCTAATCTGCGGTGGAAATATCGGCCGAATCTAGTTGACCGCCTCCAAGAACTTAGAAGTGAATACGCCTGTTGGTTCACGGGGTCGTATACGACAAATAGTGGTAGCAATTATCACTCGTCTGTTGGTGATCCTATTGCTTGTTCTTCTTGTTGTTCTTCTTACATTGTAGGCAGGAGTCGGTCGAAGTAGGTAGTGACGGCCTGGGTGGTTGCCCCACCTTTATCCGGCCGTGACTAAGCCAGTTGTCCCACTTCGCCCAGGGCAGGTGCCAGCCAGCCCATGGTACCTGCCTATTACTCCTTATCAGCCTTTGCTGTTCCAACAACGCCGAACCTTCTGCCCACCCTTCAAACCTTTCTATGCTCTGGGTAAAATTAGCGGGGGTTTATCCGAGTAACTCGCTATCTTATACCCAGTATTTCAAGAAGAGGAAATAAAGCCAGTCCGTGAGCGATTGGCTTCGGAGTCTGACGGGGCGATTAAGCTCGGAAGAAAGCTTGGCATTGGTCTGTGAATCCTACTTCGTGATCAGCAGCATAGATCCCCTCGGCGAAACGTCTCTGGCATCAACACAGTATCTCCAGGAAGCAAAAGGAGGTTTCAGGGTAGGGCTAGAGGCTAAAACCTATCACGAGTCTGGCCTTTGGGATAAAACTATTCCTAATAGACTGATATCAAGGAGGGCTAAGAGAAAATTGGCGTTGATGGCGTATGTTCAAGCTGAAGCTTTCACAAGTTTTTTCTTATCGATGACTCACTGAACAATCTAAACCTCGACTTTGGAATCGTCGATTCTACCTGGCATCATCAGGCCAAGATGACTTGTTAAGGCAAGCATAGATCTGACAACGAGGTCAGACGTGATTATCAAAGATTAAGGCGATGGGGACCGTGGGGTGGACCTTGCTACGGGTAAGGACTTGAGACATTTGGCTGAATTATTTGAGGAAAGCTTGTCATTGAAAGACTTAGGAAAAGTAATTAGGTCCTAGGAGGCCTTTGAGTGATCTGATGTATCTGTGTATTTGTGCAAAGATTTCTGACAACGATGTGCAGCAATGTCTTAGCATTGGTCCGGGGAAATTAACCCAGCTCAACTGACCTACATTTAATTAGCAAGAAGCTAAAAAGCTCCTGTGGCTTAATCGCGGTCGCAATTCTTCCAATCATGATGGTTTTCAGATTTCGTTATCACTGACATCTGCGAGCCAGGAAATTCGGTGAGGTGTAAACATTTAGCATTAAAAGAAGCCTATCAAAGACTTTTGCAACAACGCCTGCTTATCTCAGGCCGTAAATTGAGTCCAAGACTCTTGTCTCTCAGTCGTGTCCCTTCCTGAGTCAATCTCTCCATAGAACCTGGCTGGCGAAAATCATTCCAATATTTCGGTCGACGCTGATGGTATCATATTCTCTCCTCCGTGCTTGCACAGTCCCCTTTCACTTGGTATCATGATGAAATCCAAACTTAATCGCACTTTGATCCAATGGTACCACTGGCATCGGCACACACACCGGAGTTCTGAGCCTGAACACAAGAGTCCTTGAACTCGTTGCCGCCGAATCCAGAAACATACCGTGTCCGGCCGCCATCCTTGGGAGCAATAGTTGCGCAGACCTAATTACAGATGTCAGCAACATATATTGAGGCAGAAAGAGGAGAATTGTGCTAGACTTACGTGCCACAGCATTGTGGTGTTGACATTTTGCGGGTTATCATTCTCAAAGATCTTTTGCGACGTTCTGTAAACATCGCAGGCCTTTTCCGTGAGACACTTGTGAGATCGGTCATTTATAACACAGTAGCATTTGGCGTGTTCATTTGCAAGCGCCCTGATCTTGTTAGTCATGATTCAGCTGCTTGAGTCTGGATTGAAGTGTTGATAACTTACACTGGGAAAGCGAGGAGCGCCAATGATAGGCAAAAGAATAGAAATCTCGTGAACATGTTGTTGGATTTGAGATTAACCACGAGAGGAGTGACTCGAGGGAAGAGAGAATGAGAGATGGGTGTACGATGGAGTGAGTGAACGATTGCAGGATTGATGTGAGGTTATCAAGTGATGTAGGGCTGGGCCGAACTGCGGTCAAGACTAAACTTATGTACCTGCACCTGTTTTTGGAGTGGGCGCAGGCGTAATTTAGAAAATGCGAGAGAGTCCAATTGCCATTTGAGTAGCTCGACACCCAGGCCAGATAAGGATGGTCCCTGACGTGTGGACCAATTCAAGTTAATAAACTCAGGAAATGTCAGGATAATGACAGCAGCTTGGCCATTGCTCTGGGGAGTTCTCCACTACGATAGGGAATGATCCGACTTGAATCATGTTCCCTTGGCATCCGATCATCCCACCGTTACATGACGCCGGACGGCTACTGCACGCCGCCTTATCATGCTACCTCAATTAACAATATACGGGTCATGACGGACGAGACCGCCCTTAGCCGTTGGCATTCTAGCTCGGTTCTGGAAAAAATCTCGTATCGCGGGGTGATGTGAGAGTTGAGAGTGATAGAGATAGGACGACGGCGTTTGCGCGAGTCAAACTAAGCAGACACTTGGGTAGAAGCTTAGTTGCGGCTCAGACAACGGCCGAGTGTTTGATATAGAAAGGCAAAATAAATTGCTAAGCCACTTAGTACGAACAGCATTGATCAACAGATCACGGGACTTGAGCGAGACCGCTTATCACTTGGACCACACTCCGCAAATAATATTCGCGAAAACAAGCAGGTTCCCAGATCCATTCCCTGGCGACACGTGACTAGTTAGTCAATTCCATCAATTGTCACGCGGCTATATTGAATGACACATGTTAACCTTACTCGTATTTGCCCGTATCGAGGTTGAAGCAAGTCAACAAAAAGGGGGATGCGGAGTTGATGCCCGTGCATGTGGAGGGAATATAGTCGCGTGACGATGTGGGCAGCATGGACAAACTCGCGGGTCCATAAAAGGGAGAAGGCAGACAGACGAACGAGTTGCAGAAGTAATTACGGAGTACTTGATACCTGGACTTTTAGAGAGCTCAACAAAAGTAAAAGTGAGCACAACCACTCATTCTAGCCCATTTCGATTTGTTTGGTGAATGAGAAACATGAAGCAGTGAGACATGACATATCAATGATATCATTAGGAATTTGGTATATTTTGCGACTATTCTTGTACATGAAATAACAACTCCATCACTCTTAAGATTCGGCAGCAAGCGGATCAGCGACTTAATCTCCAGCTCAACGACTCTGGCTGGCTTTCCAACAATATCCGCCCTCCTGGGAAATCTGAACGCATTTAGAACAGTACCAATCTATAGGGAGCCCGACTTTCTTACCTATATGACTCTATGCCGAATTATCTTGGGTGCATACGTCGAGTCTTTGCGTTGTGAAGTCGTGGCCTTCAAAAAGATTTGCTCCCCAGCCCTCCCATCCAGTAAGGACCTGGTCGCTAGGCAAGGGGTCGCAGCTGTTTGGGTTGATGCCGATACGGAACTTGAAAGGTGCGGAGTTGCCACCAAATGTGACGTTTGTCAACGCTTGGAGGTTGCCCTTTGAGTCTTTGGAGTTTTCGATGGTGCATTTCGTGCCGGCAGGGAATGTTCCGCTCAAGCCGCATCTAACGACTCCCGCAGGCTCGTCCCATTTGAGCCACAACCAGTTGGTATCAGCCCAGTTGTCGCCCCAGCAGCAACTGTCAGCTGCTGCGACAGCAACATATGCTGAAGTAGCAAAAAGTTGAAGGATATACGTAGATCGCATGATTGGAAATAGAAGAGCTAGTGTCGAAGGAAGCTTTTGAAAATTTTGGTGATAGGTTCGATAGCAGAGGGTAGTTCCTTCAACAAGTGCTGGGTGCTGTAATACTCTTATCAGACTAATGACGCTTGGACGGGGGAAGAACGTCGGACGAACGATGGAGGATGTGGGAACGGGAGGCCTGGGAGGCTGATAGTAGGAGATTGACTCAAAGTGTCTCTGGGCAGCAATTAATTAGTAAGCCTCGAAATAAGTTGTCGAGTAATTCGCAGCTTTGACCGATTCCGAGGAAACACGAGGAACGTTGAGGCGTAAATTCGCGTTGGCAGTTTAACTACATCAACTCATTTGGCTCCCAATTTACCTGGATGCGCCGCGTTATCTTTAATCAAAGAAAGTTGAACGCCGATCTTATGTGTACCTGATTCATGTCAGGATAATACTTGCAAAGCCATCCTTCATCAAACCTTGTTCCTGAGGGCTGGGTCGTGGCTTTAGCACAGTTTGCGGGGAACCTGAAATCATGCGAGCACGTCCCCAAAGAGGTATCGAGCAGCGGCGGCAGTTCGCCGAAATGGATGAGAGTGCCTTTTTATTTACTATGCCCTGGTATCTTGCTGTTTTCCGAAAGCTAGTGCCCAACACTATTGTCTGTCTTTCTCTTGTTCGTTCGCGTTGCAGCTCGCAACATACTATCATAATGGTTCTCTTGAACCTTGTCACTCTCTTTTCTCTTGCCGTGAGCGCGTCTCCGGTCGCCTCGGTCCCCCGGATTGAGGCTCAGGTGCTCGATGAACGCGCAAACCCCACTGTCGACAGCTGTTCCTTCCATTCCGAAGATGGGTACGATACCTGATTACCAAGTTGTCTATAGAGGTGCCATGATTGCTAATCTCTGTATCACTCGTACAGCATTCAGCCTGGGTGTTGGGAGACTCTCAAAATGAACGACCATCTCAACGTAGGCTCAGATAAATACCCACATCTGTGACATTCAATGCTGACAATATGACCAGGACTGGTGGTCAAAGAACTCAGCCAGATGCAAGACGGCGGAAAAGGGATTCGCTGAATGTTACCTCGATTCAGCTGTATGTTGCACAAGACCAAGATATCTGAACGAAGTTGCGCCTGACTAACACGAACTCAGGGATACATAACGTGGAGTTGTGACTTCATTGCCCTAAATGGATGCACCCCTCCTCCGAGTGGCCGCGGCGCCGACTATGCTTCCTACCAAGAATTCTACGTAGGTTCTGCACACAACCAGAAAAATTTCAACTTTACTGACGATGTCTTGATAGGTCTTCTGGAATATCTACTGTGAGCATCTTTGCCATTGGCGGCCTGTGAAACCTCACTGACGTCACTGCGACATTAGCTATCAACCTTTTCTTCACTAATTACCACCAAGCTCTGTTGAATGGTCAAGCTACTGCAATGTAAGTTCACTATGATGATTGTACGTCGCTATCATGCCGTTTGCTAACTCTCCGTCAATAGTGGCGCGGTCGCTGAAATTGTGAAGACGGTTTCGCCACCTAAGACCAAGAACCCCAAGACTCCTCTGTTCTCGCCTATCTATGCTGTGGCACTTGGCCAATTTGCTGTAAGTATCAGCCAACTGAAGTACAGGAGAAGAGATAGTTCTGACAACGCTCTGCGTCAAAGGCCTTAGGTCCTTTGCTCGGTAGCTCTGTCGCCGCTAGCATGGTTTTTGCTTCTCTCACCGGCGCCCTCGGTGGTGGAGCTGGTTTGTTCAATCTTTTGTTCCCAACCAAGGCCGTACAGGAGGTCCCGTGGGAAGGCCTCTCTGCTGCTCTTTCAGAGAACGTCAATGAATACCAGAAGAATGTTGGCGAGGCATTGACCAAAATTCAAACCGACTTTGACACATTCTACTCTCTGGTTTCCAATGGTGGCTTCAGCCAGGTGAGAAGAATTCCCTGACAGATGGTCTGCCCGAAAAGCTGAGACTGACCATTTCGCGACAGAAAATGAACACCAACTTGCCTGAGAACACCGATTTCATGTACCACAATCTTCTGAAGTGGACTCTCAACCAGGCGCTGCAACAAGCAGACTACTTTGCCGTCAAGAAGTAGGTTTACACTTCTCCTCGGAATGACTGCATGCTCTAACCATTCTGTAGCCCCGGAGTTGATCCTCGCAAGATTCCTATCGATCCATATGACTGCACCAACCTTGATACTTACAACACTTGCGGCCCGATCTGGTACGATGGCAAGGACTCCTATGGCCTCGCGAGGGCAAATGGTAAGTACATGTTTCCAAGGAATATGGCTGACGCGCCTCGAACCGCAACTAACATCACTCAAAGACATTGGCATGGATCAGATGAAGACAATCTTGGATGCAGCATTCTCTAAGAACTGGACCACGCCGCATGAGCTCTACATTGACTCTCAGCAATGCCAGGGTAAGAACGGCTCCGAGTCCTTTGACGTGAAGGACCTGTCGCTGAGTTGCGCCGTAAGTGCCCTTTTTCTCTTTTAACATTGCCGCTTCCCCTGAACTTTCTCGCTAACCGCAACATGCAACTAGTCGGACATCCCTGTCTGCGAGTTTAACTTTGACTACAACCCGTACCAGTCGCTCATTGATCGCACCAACCCCCCCGAGTTCAAGAACTGTCCCAATCAGAGAGGCTATGGCACACCCATGTTTTACAGCGATGATGCCGGAGTTCCTCTCTCGTATCTTGGCCCCTTTTTGGTACGTGATTCACGCATAAATATCATCAACCCAATCAACACATGAGTCATGATACTAATGAACGAGTCAACAGATGTCCGGTGTCATCTATAATGAGAAGAGTGGTTGAGGTTAATTAGTTTAGTCAGAATTTCACGGGAACTCATAGCTTGTAGAGGGGTTTCTCGAGAGTCGTAGAACGTGCAGTGAAAATACTGCGGAATGACACTGTTGGATTCACAGGTGGAAAAGGAAAATACTCGAGTATCGTGGGTAGCAACGATCACCGACTGTAGTGGTGATATTGCTTGTTCTTGTTGTTCTTCTTCAGTGGAAGTCTAACCAGGTGCCAGCGGCGGCAGGAAGTCTGGGGTATACCACCCTCGTGTGGCTGAGCCACACGGACCACCGTGGCTGGAACGGACCGCGGCAGCAACCTCCTGCTGCCTAATGTAGGCCTATTCCAACAGACACAAATGCTGGAAACGGCAGAGAAGAATCAATACGTTTAATTATTAAATTTGTTCACTTGCATTCTACAGTACCGTGATGCAAGTGATAAGAGTCTCACGCCGTCTGCAAAACGTTTAGGTAAAATCAAGAAGCATGCTATTGGTCATTGAATGCTCGCTATAACTACACGCAGAAAGTCGATATGATGATCGCTCGCCAGATGCTACTTTCCGGTCAGTATCAGCCCGACCGCCGAAAGAAATTCCATGCCGATGGCCGTCATATGTTTCATGAAGAGTAGAACAGATAGCAGTCCGATCGATTGACACTGTTTCTTTGGCCGAATAGACTGGCTTTCATTACCGGGCACTGCGAAAGCTTAGTCAAGAACAATTACAGCTGTTTTGAACCCCGGGATATATAGGAGACATTAGTGTGAGATTCCGAGTTTGGGTAGTCAATTTAGACTTGAGCAATGCAGAAGATGGCCTACCTGAGATTAATGAGATGACAGTTGTAATTAAGTCGGATTTGCCGTTTCCCTAATTGAAGCCCATGAGCTGAGAATCAAAACTATCGGTACATGTAACTCTATATGGGTATTACTCAATCCCCCCATCACGATCAATATCATCAATCAGCTGTCGAAGGGGAACATATCGAGACTCAGGAGAATAAGCTTTGTTTATTGAACGTATCAAGGTCGTGGGCTACAGTATATAGCTAGTCGGATCGGTCCAAAGACCGAGCTAAAGCAACAATGTTTTCCGTGCGGAATGCCACCTGGCCGTTGGCATAATTGCCAATATCATCCGCACCATCATCTTTGACAACGTCTCCATCATCCGCAGGGCCAGAAGATGACTTTTCCTGGTTCTCTGACTTGTTGTCCTTACTACTACGCCCAATCAGCTCCAAAATGCAACCGGTTTCATCTTCCTTCAAGAAGAACTGACGAAGACCTGTGGCAACATCGTAGCTAAGATCTTCCGCCGTAGTAGTCCAGCCTCTGGCCCTCACTTCAGCGAAAACGGCGCCAACGTCTTCAACCTCCAGTGCAACATGGTGGACATAAGCTCCATCATGACGCATCATCAGCTTGTAAAAGACCGAATCAGGGTTCAACCCTTCAGTAAGAATAACAACTCGCTTGGCATCAAAGGGGATGCCCATAACTTGTATCAGCCCATCATCGCCACCATCGGCAGCGGATCCCGTGTTGACGGTAAAAGTCCGAAGTGAAGTGAAACCCAACATGCGCTCATGGAAAACTTTCATACGTATGGTGTCGGGCATGATGGCAGCGTAATGGTCAAGATGGCGTGTTGAGCCTGCTATGGAGTCTAGAACCTTAGGGGAAGTTGAAAAGTCGTCATTCGATGGCTCCTCGGCTGGGGCTTGGCAAAAGCTCATAGGGTATCCGGTTTCCTCGCGCAGGACAACAAGCTCAGTTGAACCGTCCTGAATTAGTCGGTCTTTGAAGGTAATCCTTTGAGCCTCGAAGACTTGGCGAGTCTTCACAATGTTGTAGAGAGAGAAGCGTATAGAAAGCCCGATGTCTCCAGGTCCAGCGCTCTCGGGAGCTTTGACAATGCTGAGGGTCGGGTCACCGAGACCGGGAAGTCGATAAAGGCTCTCATCTTTGTTGAACTTGACGTTGTAGACCTCCTTAACTGTTTCGGCAGCTCTTTCAACCCCGTGCGTTGTCAGGGTCAAATGAGCCATTCTCTTAACACCGAGGAGATTGACTGCTCCTGTTCTGCGCCGAGTAGTTGCAAGGTCCTCACAGGCTTTTCAAAGAGCTACGTTGCTTGCTCGATATCCGACGCTGCCGAAAGCGGCGTTAACAAAGGCCTTGGTGTCGTTCGCAGATGCCTCGAGGTTGGATGCACCATAGCCCTGCAGCGCAAAGCCGCTGCAAGCTCGCATGAAGAGGTTGGCCGTTCCCGAGTTGCTGATCCACTCTGGCAGCATCCGGATTGATGCAGAATCAAGTTTAGACAGAGTTTCATCTCTGCTCTCAACAGGGTTGAATATGTTGTTGGCGCCAGCAAGGATGAATCAGGCGCCATGGGGTACCTCAGCGAAGGTTTCGTGGCTTAACGTGGAAAGTGTTCGGGGTGTAAGGATATAGCGCTGAGCGCAGGGAACAAAGACTTCGCCCCGAGATGCGGCGAGGAAGTTGACAAGGTGTTCTTCGTCAGTTGAGCCAGCTCTGCGCTTGGTATACAAAGCTGCGCCTAGCTCGGCCTCTGTGAGACCAGCCTCCAGGCTCCGAGGATCAAGTCCTGAGATAGGAGTCTTCTCGGTGTTGCGCCGACAGGCTTCAATGGAGGCACATTCAATGCCATTGTCGTTGACTAGAAAGCCATACTGACTGGAGACGGCAACTACCCGGCCGATGCCTAGCTGGGCAGCTGCTTGGGCAAAGGTAGAACCGACGCAACCGAAACCCTGGAGAACTAGGCGAGCCTGTCCCATAAGCTCCGACTTTGTGTGGAGAATGAGCTCTTTGAGGGTAGCAGCCATCACATAGCCGACACAGAACTCGCTGAGACCCCATCCGCTGTTATCAAGCTTTTCTCCGAGGAGATCATGGATCTCCTTGGGGTTCGAGCCGAGTAGCCAAGAGAACGACTGAGTGCATCAAGCGCAGTCAAAGTGCCCGGAGAGCAGTAGGCTCTAGCGTGTCTGTCGATGATGTCGTGGTCTGTGTTGAGGTCTCCTCCCGTGCCCCAGTACTCCGAGAGGACAGCTGCGTTGTCGCGAATAAAACGCTCCAGGACAAGAGGAGCACGTGAGTCCTCATGAGGAAACCTGATGCCGCCCTTGGCACCAACGACCTGAGGCTGGGAAGACACAGCGAGTTTGGCGCTCATAGAGCGAGCAATATCGCGAACCTCATTGAGAGTTGCGTCCTCGTGAAGGAAGAGCCCGCCTCCCGAGTGAGTAGGCACGGGTGAGTCGATAACAATCCAGCCTTCAGCCGGGGATAGCTTATCTTTCCAGTGCCAAACACTGCAGCCCTGAATGACTTGATGGGGTGGCATTGAAGAGAAAGTTCCATCAACCGAAGCGCCGAGTTGAGTAGAGGCTGGGAGAGGAGACATGTTGAGGCAAAAGTAATGTTGAATGTTGTTTTGAGATTGGGTCAAGTTTGGAATCTTTCTTTTTGTTGCGATGATGTTGAGAAGATGGACAGATGATGCAGTCTTAGGCTCAACCATTTATAGCCAAAAAATTCTCTTCAACTTGACTATATGATACTCCGGTTTGCCACAAGAGGCAGCCCGTTCCTGACAACACTTTGATTTCAAACCTGCAGGACGGCCATATGGCCAACTCTTCCTTGAAAGTGAAAACATCTAGAGAGAACTCAAAGGGACAAGGATGGCCTTGGCGGAGTAAGTAGGCTGTGCTACCATCCACTGGGCAGACATTTCAGTCGGAGGCATTAACGCAATGAGCCCTGTGGGGTCTAGAGTCACATGTCGGTTTTGGCATGCTGGAGGGTTCAATATAGCTTCAACAACCTGGGAAGAACTTCTGGCTGTGACATGTCGGGGACGGAATTTCGTTCTTGGATGCTCGGAGACCTCGTATTCGGTTTTTTTGTCAGAGGTCAACTCATAACCAACCGGAAGCATATGGAAGCTCGAGTTCGTCATTCCGAAATGTGGAAGTGATAGGCCGGGCCGCCGAAAATCTTGGGCAGCATAGAACAGTCCGGGGCTTCTAATTTTCTCGCCCATGTGATCGGACCTCTTCCGACTGCATTAGGTTGGGCAACCAGAGTACTATCGTACCCTGCAGCTTTTGGATGCTTTCAGGAATTATTCTTGTTGTGGTTCTTCGGGAAAAATTATGAGGTTGATGCAACACCATCCCCTCAGCTTCAGCATGGGTATAAAGTGGCGTGTTGACTCTCCCACCTTCTCTTACCAGAGATTAAGATTCACAAGGCACATTGGAACCTACCACCCGATCTTTCACAACACATCACTTATTCCAATTTGCTTCTTTTGACTTGAAATTTACTTCTTTCTTGACTTTCGTCCCAAGGTATATTGTCTCAATCACCATCACCATCCAAAATGGGATCCATCTCCAACATGAAGTCCTCCTCTGAGCACGACATTGCAAAGATCTTCAACTCCTACGTTGCCGCAGGCGCCATCGGCACTGCTTGGGAACTCGGGCTACTGGATGAGAATCGTACCCAAAAAGCTGTGGATATCGACGAGTTCGCGGCCAACCACAATCTGGATCTCGCTTCGACCCACACCCTAGTCTCCGCGCTCGCTACCTCTGACATCCTCCAGCGTCAGGGGGGAGCTGCCATGCCCGGGAGGTTGCTCGAAGAGGCATACCGCACCAAAAGTCTCTTTCTGTTGGTATACACGTCAGCAGGGCAACCGTACGGTTGGAACGAAGTGTCAATAATGGTCTATTATTGCTGCGTCTTGAGGTGGAAGGAGGAGGTTGTGGGCAGAGCCCACGGCCTCTCAGAAGTGGTATGTAAGGGGTCGTTTGTAAGTGCCCATACCGCCTTCCAGATCCACCTTTTCTGCCGACTGCTCAGAGATCCAACACTTTCACTGGCTTGCTCTTGGTTCCGGCAGTTTGTTCGCGCGCATGCAGTACGTCATACGCAACGAGAATCGCGAGGGTAAATTCTACTCGCGTGATTCTGCGGCCATTGCCTAAGCGTGCCGCGACGCAAACACGCAATTCATCGATCCGGTCTTCCTCGACGTCCTGAAGTCGTCTGGCGAAAACTTTACCTCCGTTGTGGACCTGGGAAGTGGTAGTGGCGAGAGGATCATGCAAGTTGACGGTTAGTCAGGGTGGCCAGCGGAATATGCATATGTGAGTGAGCAGAAAAGAGCGTCTATTCGTACTAAAGAGTGGATGGAATCACCACAGGCTTGTGGGCCTAATGCTATCCTAATAAGTCTTGCAGAGCTAGGACCAGGTGGAAATGACAGTCTGGCCTGTTTCGTGATGGTCAGACCATTCCGAATGGGTTATGTCCATGACTCGCGTAGAAGCATGCATGGATTCTGTCACAAGTCCTCGACCGCTATCCTCAAAGCACCGGACTTGGCATTGATATTGCTGGTCCGGCAATTGAGGTTGCCAGGTCAGACGCTGTGAAGCGTGGGTATGGCGGCCGTATTAACTTTCTGGTCGGCGGTGCGCGTAAGCTCGACTGTCGGGACGAGTTTGCCAATGTTGACCTTTTGACGTCGTTTCTGATGGGACACGACTTCTGGCCGCGAGAGAAGTGTGCCAGCTCTCTACAGAGACTGCGCAAAGCTTTCCCAAGCGTCAAACGATTCTTTATCTGCGATACGGTGCGGATTCTCACAAATGATCCTCAATCTCGCCATGCGGTACAAGAGGATGATGCGCCTATCTTTACCCTGGGCTTTGAGTTTGGTCACGCGCTGATGAATGTCAAATTACCTACTGTGGAGGATTGGGAGGGGGTTTTTGAGGATGGTGGCTGGGTTTGTGTCAAGCAGCATCATATGTTGCCTCCGTCTCTCACAGTTCTGTTCGAACTTGTGCCCCGTGACGCAAATGCAATGTAGAGTTTCAAGCAGTTCTGTGGTATAGATAGAGAATATGCCCAAGGTTTGATGCATATTGCATAGCTACTTTAGGCATTAGAGATAGCATGCGATATGAGGTGCTACTGAAATTATGGAGACTACCTAAGTACTAAGTACTCAATAAAGTCATCGAGATCTAATTTGCGCAAGGATAATTGTTGGTTCACGGGGTCGTATACGACAAATAGTGGTAGCAATTATCACTCGTCTGTTGGTGATCCTATTGCTTGTTCTTCTTGTTGTTGTTCTATCTTACATTGTAGGCAGGAGTCGGTCGAAGTAGGTAGTGACGGCCTGGGTGGTTGCCCCACCTTTATCCGGCCGTGATGACTAAGCCAGTTGTCCCACTTCGCCCAGGGCAGGTGCCAGCCAGCCCATGGTACCTTCCCATTACTCCTTATCAGCCTTTGCTGTTCCAACAAGATGATACTAGCGCAACTTTATCTTGAGGGGATTATCAAAATGGTTCTGGCTCAAAATTGCCAGCCGGAGCTCACTCGCTTCCCGAAGTTCTTTGCCGCACATCATGCCAACCTGGACCTGCTCTGACTTGGCCCCGGGCCGCTCCGCCTCAACTAACAGGGCCGGACTCAACCTGTCTTCACCCCGCAATTACTTTCGGCTTTAGGCGTCCAGTACATGAACCATGCACAGTAATGGCTTTTCAGCATCCTCTGTAGTAATAGGATTTTGCTGCCCACGAGGTCTAAATGCCCCTTCTCTGTTGACCCTTGATTTTCCATCTGCCGTCGTAAGCGGCGGAGCTTCCCATCGGACCTTTTCCTGAGGCGGTGAACATTGACCCTTGTCGCGCGGTCCACGCCATCGTGGCGGAGATAAACAGTGAACAGACTTCAGATACTGACCAAACTGTGACTGAAGTGCAGCGCAAGAATATCATCGAAGTATTCCTGAATACGGAAAGTGTAACCCGAAGTTACATTCCTCCGTTTCGTCATCCAGCTTGAGAACTGTAGCGGGGCTAAGCTAATTGTTTCGGGTGAACTGAGCTTTCAGAAGTTCGGACCCGAGTTCCGTCCGTGTAAGTGCCGCAGCTGCACTGCTACAGACTGCTCGCAGTGCTCGGTTGACAATATGGAAGGTTTGAGGTTCTTCATTCGGCCCGACTAGGTTCTACAACATAAAGATCCAACTGGTACTAAATACGTGCTCTCTTGAAGTTGTAGCCTGTCAGTCACCGACTTTGCTGGCATCTTGCGCCTTTATCTAGTTCTATCACGGTCCATCGTGAAGAGAGAACATACACTAAAATTACCACAACCATCATGATTTTCTCCTCTAGATACCAGATAGACATACCTGAAGTCGATGTTCTGTCATATGTTTTTGGTACAGTCCATATCGCTGTGACCTGTGTTTTGCTTTCGTGTTTGCTGATACAGACTACAGGAACGTCAGCCTCGCAAGGGGATTTGCCCATTTTTGCCGATGCCGAGAAACCTGCTCAAAGTCTCCGTAAGCCCAAATTGGAGACTTGTGTCAAGAAACTAGCGGGTGGCCTCCGACAGACATTGGGATTACAGAACGACGATGTTGTCCTGGCTTACACCGAGAATTCTGTGAGTAGTTCCACGTTCATGGATGGCAACCAACCCCTAATACCGTGCCTCGTCACTCCAGGTATGGTACCCAGTTATAATCCTTGGGTCAATCTGTGCAGGTGGGATCTTCACTGGTGCCAATCCGGGGTACACAGAGTCTGGTGAGTTACGAATTAATGATGAGATACCTCGGCACGAAGCAGCGAGCACATGGGTAACCCTGACTAGAACTGACCCACCAACTCACTGTTTCCGGCGCTAAGTGCATCTTCACGGATGCCGTGCGACTCACGACCGCACTGCAAGCTGCAAGGAGCGTCGGCATACCAAAAGAATCTGCCGTGCTCGTTGACAACGAGGGTCGGCCTAGACATGACAGTTGGCGTACCATGCAAAAGTTGATGGCTGAGCCATATTCGTGGGAGGCAGTCCGCGATCCTCTAATTTTGGCGGAAAAGTGAGTTGCTGCAAGTGAACAAAACGATGAACGCGATGCTGACCAATTTGCAAGGGTCGCTGTTCTTAACTTCAGTAGTGGGACAACGGGGAAACCCAAGGCATGCATGATCACCCACCGCAATCTTGTTGCAAATGCGGAACAGACGCTTCACCTTGATCGAGTGAGCGAGTCGAGAGCAAACGGCCAAGGATCTTCAACTCACAATGTTCACTGTGCGTTCCTGCCTCTCTATCACGCCAGTAAGTGGAAGTCTGGGATCTCAATCACACGCTACTGCTTGAAGCACTGACTATGAGCTTAGGTGGACTCATGACTTATTGTGTGGTCAATGTACGCAGATCTTGCACAACAGTCACCATGCGTAAGTTCAGCCTAGAGCTTCTGTTGAGCACAATTCAGCCTCCCCAACATGCAGATGAAAATCGTCGGTGACGATGGTCGCGAAGTCGGCTGCAACGAAGAGGGGGAGGCACTCATTCGGGGCCCAAATGTGTTCAAGGGCTACTACAAGAACCCAAGTGCATCTGAAGAAGCATGGACCAAAGATGGGTGGCTGAAAACTGGAGACATCGTGTCAATCCAGGAGAGCGGACTCTTGACTATTTTGGACCGCAAAAAAGTACGTGCCCAAAGCTTTGAAAGGCTTTGACAGAACATGGAAGAATTTGCTGACCAATTTTTTTTTGCAGGAACTCATCAAAGTCAAAGGGTTTCAAGTGGCCCCGGCCGAACTTGAGGGGCATCTCCTTGAGCATGAAGGAGTCAAGGACTGCGCAGTAATTCGCGTCACAAGGTTGGTTCCCACTGTTTGCCTTTACCGCTCGCATTTGACTTACACGAACACGCGTTTAGAGAGGGGCAAGAACACCCACAAGCTCACATTGTCCCCAAAGATAACAACGTTACCACCGAATCGATTATCAAATTCATGTTGACCGTCCACGCAATTACATGTTGTACGCAGTGCCACCGTCACATATGGTCGGCAGGGCTGCAATGCCGCGGAAGGCGGTAGCTTCATCCTTATCTGTGGTGTTTATGTGTCACTGATCATCTAACACACTGTAACCAATGGTGTTTGGTAGTTTGTGGAACGCCCAGAGCTCTAATGGAACTTCTGCATCATAAATATTCTCTTATTTTATAGGAAGGGCCAAACAAGGCCTCGTTCGAGGTTGATAATTCTACGTTAAGGGCCTTTGTATCCTAGGTCACGACTTCATGACTCGAGAAACCCGAAATGCTGATCCAGCTCTTGCGCCAAAGTGATGGAACTATTCAAAATCCACTGCATATCCATATTCAAGGGCTTGACGTTATGTCCGACCATACAGCTCATCTGTGTCCGGTCTCCACCCTTCTCCCACGTCCCGTCGACCACGGTATGCGTCGGCAGCCCGAATTCTTTCGGGTCAATCTTCTTGTTCTTCAAAAGTCCACCGTTGTACCAAATGAGATCGTCTCGCACGTCGACGTGTCCGATCACGAAGCTGCAAATTCTCTCGACGGAGTCGTTGACCTTGTCCTTGAACCAACCAACCATGGAACCGTAGTGCTTTTCGAAGGCATAGCTTGCCCCGCTGAGCTCGAGTCCGAACCACCACGTCTCCTTGTCACCGTACGTAATTTTGTAGCTGACTTCTTCGCGCACGTCGTAGGTATTTTGCCATGCTACATGGAGGAGACCCATCAACACGTCTAGGCGAGACTTGTCCACTACAACCACACCCGAATCGCCCTCTTCGGCGTAGTCATCAGTCCATACAAGCGACTTATTGAGCGCGGCACTGGGCTCGTGAATCTGCGACCTCCACCACTCATGTCGTTCGGCGAAGGCGTGTTGCCAGAGTAAACGATCGTGGAAGAGGAGAGCACCGGTCTGCTCGTACAAGGGATCTAAGAAGAGTGACTCCGGAACTTGAACAAATACTGAGTCGGCATCTGAGAGTAGGACCTCTTCGAACGGCGCATACAAAGCCGCAAAGGCCTTGATAGCCCACCCGCCATTTACAAGCTTCAGGGTCTTATCGTCGACAACGCTCAAAACATCTAAGAATTGGAGCCCTTTGAAGCGAGCCAGCAGCTTCTCGCGGTCCTCAGGCGGTAAGTCCTCGTCTCCGGCATATACAATCTGAATCGTCATGTTGCAGTACAAGATGTCTTGGAGGGCGCCAATGAGGTGCGTGGCGTATCGCATGGTTCCCTTGCCTGTCGGAATGACGAATCCACGTGACCCAGGGACAATGGACGAACGCAGGTCTGAAAAAGGCGTCTTGCTATCTGGATTCTTGGGAGAGTGCTGGATAAAAGGGAAGAACGATGCGATCGCACTCTCCACAGTCTCGAGAAGAGGCCGAGCGTTCTCCGATTTCGGTGCGTTGTCAAGGAATTTGACCCATTCCCGTGCTTTCTTGGTTCGTTGACCGAGCTCGTAGAATTTGAATTTGTACGGAGGTTGAATGGGATCGTCAATCAAAGAATTGGCTTCGTCGCTGATCAAAGCAGCCTCTTTCTGCCATGCTGTTGGGCCATCTTCCTTCGGTTTGTCGGAATGTTGTGGTGGATGCGACTGCGTTTGCGCTGGCGGAGGCTTGGCAGGCGACGTCGGATGATAAGATGGAGTAAGAACGTAAGAGGAGTATAAGAACAAGAACAAGAGGCAAGCGAACAGAATAGATGTTGTCATCCGCGAGGATGGCATAACTTTGACGACCATGCTGGCCAATTGGTCGCAAAGCGCGACTGATATGTGAAGGAGAACGATCTTCTGGTGGCAGGCGTGTCGCGGGAGAACGAACGAAGCAGCAAAAGCCTGGGGAGGGCGAGGTGCCCGGGCATATTATCTACCTTCCAAAATTGCGCCAAAATCCGGCCCCACGGTAGATTACGTACGCCAGACGACGTAGTAGTCGCGTGAGGGTGCTTCATCAATGGGAAGGGGGCCACAAAAGAAAGTTTAGTTCAAGTGACCAACAGAGTGATGAAAGCTGAAAGCGCATTCCAACCCATGTCCGAGTTGCATCGGCGCTTGTTAGCAGCGGCTGTCTCATGGACCTCACTTCGAATTTTGCAGACTAAAACCAGAGAATCGCTGGTTCTTCTTGGACTTCATCGCGAACAAGCTGGCTTTCAACTTTCAACAGGTCCTCCCTGTTGACTTCGGTTGACACGGCATGGGTGTCCACCGCCCGAATATTCGTGGCAAACTAGGGTAACTGTTGGTACCCCTATCACAGGGAAGTTGGTTCGAACCGTAGGGTCCTGGGGATGACGAAGTATCAATATCTCTGTATTGATTGATTCTGCGTAAGGAGTAGAAGGGAGATTCCAACCGGGGGTTGGGTGGACCGTCGAGGTGTAATTGTACCCTCTCGAAGTGGCCCCTGCTCTACCCTTACTCACGGTCGAATTGGGCTTCCAATCCGACAGTAACCAACAAAGCATTCCAGCGCAACAAACACGGGTAGAAGCAAAAGGGCGACACAGCAGTTGCACCCACCTCTTTTCTTGAGCCTTTTCTCAACCTCCCAAGGAGGTAATAGGTGGATACGGGAGACTCCTTTCTTGGCACTCACGTCGAAGGTCGCTATGGATGCTTCCAAATTTGCCTCAGGAGCTAATAGCGACCAAACTAAAGTATTGATGGCTGAAACCCATCAGCAGCCTAATTGTGCACATCACCTCTTATTAACTGGTACTCCCTCCTTCTTTGGCCCATTCCTATCTTTTCCTTCTATTTAATTATCTGTTCCGTCTGTTCAGTGCTGCTTATCTGTCCAAAGTCTTCGTTTTCACCGCGATGCCGAGGCCCACGGGTTTGATCTTCTTCTTTGTTTGCTTGTTGGTCTTGTTCACTTCATTCTCAGAGGCAGCCAACTGTTTCAACCATAGGGGGAAACTCTTTGCCGACCAGGTACAGTGTCCAGGGACCGATGCTTGTTGCGGAGTAAATGACGCTTGTCAACCGAACCGACTCTGCAAAAGTAAAGACAATGCCGATAATATCTTGGTTCGAGGAACTTGCCTGCATAACCCTTGGGACAATAGCACCTGCGCAGAAATTTGTGTCTTTGGTAAAGAACCCTCCCGCATAGTCCCTGCTACAGCGTAAATGTCGTACGATAACTTACAAGAATTCGTTTTACTAGATGAGACAAGGATCAATACAGGCTTGACAGATGGCGTCTTTCCGAGGGTTGAGATTTGTGACGCGAGCATGGGAAAATACTGCTGCCGAGAAGGTAGTTCCGGCACGTGTTGCAGCAATACTTTGCGAACCTATTATCTCGACAACAATGGCAACCTACTCTCTGTGGCCCCTACCGCGACAGCTTTAAGCAGCGCAACAACGACAACAAGTGTATCGGGATCCAGCCCAGCTACGACCAACTCCGGCGGCTCAGCTTCAAGCACTAGCACTGCTGATGGCTCAAGCTCGAGCGACGGCGAATCCCTCGCCCTTAAAGTAGGACTTGGAGTTGGCATCCCGCTCGCTGCTGTCATTGCAGCTTTGGCAACCTGGTATTTCCTCCACCAAAAGAAGCACAACAAGGGCAGAACATCGGAACCCTCCGCCAACACCGCAAGTTCATATTACGGAGGACATGCCAAGGACACGACTTATCAGTATGGGCAAGACACAAATTTCCAGAATCCAAGTCTTGATAGGAGGTACGAGATGCACGAGATGCCGGCGGACTGGAATCAGCCTCCACGCGAGCTCGCGGGATCGGAGGTGCGGCAGCAACGATGAGGCGGTCAATTGGCGAAAGGGCGCATCAGGCAATTTCACCTTGTTCGCTGATCTGCGGTCAGCTTATTTGACGGAGGTGGCGTTCGGACCATTTCGAAGCAAAATCCCTCCGTACACGAAATCCAGAGCCAGTTCGTTGCTTGGCGAATCATGACGAGTTGGTCTGTCTTGGGGAGGAAGCAGGATTAACGCAGAGTCTATAGTAAGAGGCTTGGGTCTTGGCGTGGGAACTAGTGAGGCATTGTTGACCTTTTGTTTCCCATCTTGGTATATCATAAGTAGATGTGCCTAGCGCTGACGAATTAATGGCAGCGCCGAAATCACTCCTTATATAAGGTACCTACCTTCAGCCACCACCACTGACCTTGTTGTTGTCGACTTCTGCCTCGAGTGAAATCTTCACAGCATTTCGATACAGACAAAATCCCTCGCCCCCCTGGCATTGTCACTGGGCTGAGTGGCATGCAGGATTGAGCCCCCGGTCTTGCGTGCTGAGTAAGGACCTTGTCAAAGGCGGCTCCCAATAGGCTCACGGGTACCCGTGCATGTAAAATTCCACGGGTACCCGTGAAAATGACTAAGCAAACTGGCGGCACGGGTCTTGAGCCAATCGGAGGCGCGACTTAGGTTCCAATTATCCTTTCAATTTACGATTTAACCACAATACACTCTTCGGGTAGATTCTCAGCATACAACGCCTCCCGTTCGGCGTTGTCTCTCGCGACTCGATTCCAGATATCGCCCATACCTCTGCTGCTACTCCGAAAAGGGTTGTCTCCCTCCTCAGCGAAAACAAGCTCATCAACCCGTTCCTGCTCAGCTCTGTCCCAGTCTAGATAAGCCATCATCTCTTCCTTTAGCCAATCTCTTGACCCCTTGGAGGTGGTGCAGCGTCTGTTCATCTGCTTATAGTCAAGACACCACTCATAAGACTTCTTCCCATAACGCAGTGGAAGACCCATTGTCCTCCGATACTCCTGGTTTGTTTTGACACTTCCACGAGGCTGGGCGGCATACCAGGCGCTTCTCGCTGCACAATATCGTTCGTATATTGCCTGGGGCGAATCGTATCTTGGAAGCGAGGGTGAAGGCGAACGCCGAGACGGCGATTGCACGTCAGGTGGTGATATCCCGGCATCCACTGCTCCATCTATAGTCGATGGAGCCAAGGCTAGTATGGATTGTATAGTGTTCGATGGAAGCCTTTCCGTAACTTCCTGTGTAGTAGAACAGCCCGCACTCGGTATCAAAACTAGACCCGGAGTAGGCATTGGCTTAAGCAACAAATGCGAGTATCGCAGAGGGCACGTCTTCGAAGTCATAATATGGCCAGCCACATGACACCTGCTACATGTGTTTGGGGCCCGTGATGAAATTCCAATGATTTCAAACCCACTTAGCTCTCGCCTAGTGCTTGATTTCGGAATTCGGGGGTTCTCCGATTGCAACCTGGGCTCGATGCGCTGGCGAGGCTCTAGTAACAACTGCGGCGCTCCTTCACGCCTCAGGTGCCAATGCGCATGAAAGTGCTCACGTAGCAGAACAAGATTTTGTTCCTGTAAAGCCTTTAATTTGTGTAGACATGGCAGACCGTACACACGAGAGAAGGCCCCCGTACAGACTGAGGAATGGTCTGTGCCATTCTTACTGAGCAGCTTCCGCTGCTCTTCTACTTTCCGGAGGGCTTCATGCGATACCCAGCCAAGTACTGCGCCATATATTGTTCCCGAAAGCTCGACCGGTATTCGTGTCTGTTGTTTGGCTTGATTAGATCTCAGATCCGAGAGCTGATTGAGTAACGCGTGCTTCATCGCTCGCCAAGCCTCGAACAGATCCAACGTGGATCTCTTTAGGTGCGATTTGAGCAGAGCATGGATGCCCTCAACCCGCGAGGTAGCCACGTTGCCAAAGTGCGTGTGCTGATCAACCCAGGCTTTCACTAGCTTCTCCTTGTACGGATGGAGCCAAAAGGACGTAACGTAGCCGACTTCTTCAAGATGGTCCGTAAGATAGCGTTCTTCGAAGTGAGAAACACGTTCCCGAAAGGTCATCTCAGACGGCGAGCTAACAATCAAATGCCAGGACTTGTAGAACTCTTCCCAGTTGTCAGTCGATGACTTTGGCGCTGCAGGGCTACTGGTTGTCTTCGTCTTGGCAAGGTCGAACGCAGAGTAGCAATGCTGAAGCACCGCCTTGTTTGCATGCCAGAGGCAAAGCAAAGATGCCGAAGATGGAAAGACAGCGGCTACAGCATTAATACATGCTAAGCAGCGATCTGTGAGGACAACCGCAGGTTGGCTAGCGTTGCACTGGTCATACAAGGACCTGGCCCGCTCCAGAGCCCAGGTATAATCTTCTTCCGTTTCGCCACTGAGAAATGCGAACGCGATACAGAAGGAACGCTGGCAAGCATCGACGCCAACTATATCAAGAAGCGGCATACCGTACTTGTTGGTCTTGTAAGTGCAGTCCAGCAACATTACGTCTGGGTAAGCTTGTAGGATGGCCAAGGAATCTGGATGGGAGAACAAGACAGCTGTAACGCGGCCATCTGGTGCGAATTGCATTCGACTCCAGAAGCCTTCCTCGTCAAGCTGATTGGCAAGTGCGTGGATTGAGGTCTGCCCTCCACGAACATCTCGTTTGATGGCTGCAATATGATTGTAGATATCCTGTTGGGTTGCTACAGAGTTTGTGGTTTGTCGTATGTATGTCCGGATATCCCTGGGCGCGACGCCAGCATTTGATAGGCCGGCTACTTTCGCAAAATCCTCCTCTATCAGCTTACGGTGTGTTGGGTGAGCAGACGGATGCTGGCTTGGGGGATGATTATGAGAAGAAAACCGTTTATCGGGGCGGTGTCTCAAGCTCCATATGCTTTTAACCAAGGATTCTTTGGCAAGCACGGAAAATTAACAACCGATTCCCCTGCTCGTGGTTCGTCTTTGGCGCGCTATTGCTTTGCTTGGGGGATGACACGACCGATCGCACGAATACGTAATTGTCCGCCGTCCACTCTTCTCTTTGGTCGATCTCCCGGTCGTGAAGGCGTATCCCCTTGTTGCTGCCCAATTGTTAATTGCCAATATGAGGTCATCGCGGGATTCATATTCGCTTTCAGGAGGTAGACAGTCGTCTAGGAAATTGAGTGCTGGATTGTCCGGGGCTGTTTCCATTCTTTTCAGAAACTTGTGGCCGAGTTGCCATGAGCAGAGAAACGTGTAGAATGACGCGAGACGCGTTCGTCAATCTGTGCCGCCAGCTTGCTTAGTCATTTTCACGGGTACCCGTGGAATTTTACATGCACGGGTACCCGTGAGCCTATTGGGAGCCGTCAAAGGCAACCAACTGACAAACACCCAAGGCCTAGCACCCCTGCTGGTCCCGCTCTTTCCGCCCGCCCCCTTCCTTCTCGGGTGCGGCACGATGGGCGCGTGGTGATGATCGGTCGAGCTGCTGTGCATGCGAGAGACGCTAGACACTTAGTTGCTGCAAAAGATTGAACTAGTAAGGTGCAGGGGAAATTCCGCTTTCCTAAATTCATCTTGGACTCTGATGATAAAATCCCCCGAGCTTACATGTAGGTATCATGATGAGTTTACTTCAATAATGAGGGACGATAAAGAGGAGACTGTGATCACTTGCAGGCACGCAGGGTATGAGGATCTTCGCAGTGGATTTGAGGGGGCCGATTGCCCATGATTCGAAGCATATGGTGCACCAACGAGCCTATGAGATGTGAGGGCTGAACTATTCGCAATGCGCCTAGCCCCACTGATGCTTGTTGTGTTGACGCAGGTACAGGGGGCATGGGGCTGAAACGGCCCAGGCGCAGCGGGCTTTGCTTTGTGGCTTTCCCGCCAAACTCTTGACATTGAATTCTTGATTTCATCGTTCGAGACTCTGAGGCTGCGAGGCCATGCTTTTTTTTTCATTTTTTTCAGGCGCAAATTGTCGGTATAATGCCGCCGTTGACGATGTTAACTATACAGGCTCTGGCCATTTCAGAGGGGAGGATGGAACACTCTTGGAGCCAATTTCGGACCCTTTGTATGATTGAGTTGGTGGACAGTTTGCACGCGACACAATCTAGATTTGGAGAAACCTGCCGCATTGAACTGCTTTGCTCTGCCGCTGATCACATCGTACTTTTTGGTATCCAGCTTCAGCTAATTCACCGTGCCATAGGTAAGTAAAGTACCAACGTCACAGAAGTGAGCATGTACATCATGACACGGGAAAGACGGAGTCACGTGGTGTTTCTCAACTTGATCTCATAGTTTATTCGTGACCCACGCCCAATCATCTCCCAAAGGATCATTTAAACAGGCAAGCCGCAAGATTGCCTTCGTGCTCGGCTTCAAGCTTCGGGGGGCGCAGGATCTAAGCTTCTGGAAGCGTAGAACAAATTGCTAACACTTGAACGTAGCGGCAAAGTAGTTGGCACTGATTTTGACTATTCCTTATAACAACCATCGCATTTATTGTGTCGGATTGGAAGTCCAATTCGACCGCGAGTAAGGGCAGAGCATGGGCCACCTCGAGGGAGTACAATTAGACCTCGACTACCCACCCAACCTCCGGTTGAACCTCCGGTTGGAATCTCCCTTCTACTCCTTACGCAGAATCAATCAATACAGAGATATTGATACTTCGTCACCCCCAGGACCCTACGGTTCGAACCAACTTCCCTGTGAAAGGAATACCAACAATTGATATTACTGGCTGTATACTATTATAATCACTTCAAGTCTTTGACTTGCAGATGTCACCCATGGTGTCATAAAAGTCTTGCATTACTATTAAAATGTTACTATATGAGAGATGACCCGTGAGCAGAACATTTTCCACCAATTCTTTCCTGGCGTGACTATACGGCGCCCACGTCATCGGATGTATTGATTACCCGCTGTTGGAGATCTCCCCGATGAGAGCTTGAACTAGATGGGACTGTGCCTAGCTCTGCCCGAGAGAGTTCTCATGGAATGCCGCAGTGCTGGGCGGGAAATCATTGTGAGAAGTTCTCCAGGCTCCAGCATCGAAAATTGACTTGTCCCAGGGCAATAACATGCAATCCGTGGCAAAAGGTGGCGACAGTTTCATTGTGACGCTTTAGAAACATCTCTCTTTCCTTATATATGTACAGGTCTCACCAAGTTGGAGTTTTGCAACTAAAAGACGCGTGGCAGAGCAGTATGTCTCGCGACAGCCTCCCATTGAGGTGAGAACCATTCGTCTAAACTTCTCAGTATCACAAACTCCTAGCCTCGTGTCTGGCCAGACTCCAGTTGGAACGTATCAAATTTCAGGCTTTCTTGCTTCTTGCAGCTGGCGAAGGATGTTTTGCCGGTCTCCACGAACCGGTGGTACGTGGTTGGTCACTGGCTCAAACACATTCGAGTCAAGGCGAAGATGATTGGAGGGTAGGTACCATCTGTAAAGCATAGCAAGGAAGACATCAGGTAGACTAAGTCTACTAGTACGTCTGTGACATAATCAATCCCTCTCGTTACGAACACGATAACGGTAGTCGAAAACAACCGTGCAATCGCATGCAAGTTTCGGACATCCGGCTGACAGCATTGCGCGCGTAGAGGCCTTCGCGTATGTCTATCACCGATTCGACGATGAACGGAACCGAGGCATTTCTTCGCATAACATACATCAGACGAAGTGCAGCACCATTTTCGACGGTTCTGGAACCTATGCGGAGCGTTCGGCAAGAGTTTGGGCCAAGTTGCCGGCGGTCACCGTCATACACGGCGGACAAAACATGAGGGGTGACTAGATCAATCTTCATTCAGAACACCAAAGATCTTTCTACTCGTTAAGAAGCGTGTGTCGATGAATAATTTTCGCTTTGGACACAAGCGTAAGAAGGTCCGATGCTGACAAAGTCACCCCACACAGGGTGAAATTCCTGATGTTCAGCTTAAAGTATCCTACCATTTGTCAATACTAAGTCTCCTTCGTGGACGGAGATTTTTCGATTCCGCGGGGGAAACGATTTTTTGCCATGTTGAAAGTCAACGTATGTTACAGCTCTGGATGTCTAAGTCCGAACTGTTCGGGAAGAACACTATAACATATTCTCCGAGGCCTAAGGTCCAAAATGAAAACTCTGATCGGTCGATCTACCGGTTTTTTAAGACAGACCTACATTCCGGCGGGCGAATTGTGAGGCTTATGTCGAATATTCAGATGATCGGTGTGCAGGCCACCTATCATCGCCTGTTTTGGACAAAATACCGAAAACTGCCTCTGCTGGAAGCAGAAATATGATGTCACGGAGACGGACTCAGGAAAAAAACGACGGGAAAAAAAGTTTTGTCAGTCAAACGGCCACCATCTGAAGGCAATCCTCTCCGTCACCCACTTCTCAGCCGAGGGACCCCTATGATGGCACACGGTAGGTATTCTGCAACCCGATTGGAGAACTTTGAGTAAGTAATCGAGTTCTTTGTGGGTGCTGCGGAGATAGTGCCCAAACAAGACCCCTCGGCACCTTCAGACGTTCAGCCGGTCTAGATAGGCCGGCATGTCATCATAGCAAGCGACGTCAGTATCCCGCCGGTCCGGAACCGCTCGAGCAAGGCTGGTTCTGAAAGCTCCGATTCATCAATAACTTTACCAAAAGAGATCAAGTCCTGTGAGGAAAGATCGAGAGATAAGCTTGATCGGCACTGGCACTTCAACCGGGGTCATCCATTGTCCGCTTTCCACGACTGCGGACACCCGAAAATATCACTCCGAAAAAGAGATATATAGGTTCCAAGCTCGTCCGCTCCATAACTAAACATCTTCCAATTCATCAAACACACAAACACTCATAACAACCATGAAGACTACCTCAGCCGCCGCACTTGCCCTTATTCTGGGATGGACCCAAGTTCTCGCCAGACCAGTGAATGACCCAAACATCGATATCCGCGATGCAACCACCAATTCTTCACCCGTTGCGGCTGAATCGCGACCACTGGAGCCTGACCGCCAAGCATTGAATCCATTCCTAGGCGACGACATGAACTCCATCAAGAACGACAATCCCGACCCGAAGACCAAGATTTATCCCAAAAGGTCGGAGAAGGACGCACCCTACTCCAGATCCGAGAGAGACCTGAAGGCCAGCATTTACATCCCGAAGACCTTTTCCGCATCATCAAACAAGCAGCCCGTTATTCTAGTCCCGGGCACCGCTGCGATGGCTGGTACGACGTATCGTGCGAATCTCGGCCCTCTTCTGGCCAAATCCGACTTTGCCGACCCCCTCTGGGTTAACATTCCCGATGCCTCGCTGGACGATGCTCAGGAGAATTCGGAATATGTTGCCTACGCCATCAACTATGTGCAAGACATGACTGGCAAGAAGCCAGCTGTCGTTGCTTGGAGTCAAGGAAACCTCAACGTACAATGGGCCTTGAAGTATTGGCCCAGCACCAGGGAAGCCGTGACCGATCTTGTGTCAATGAGCCCCGACTTTCACGGAACCAAGGAAGCATTCGCGGCTTGCAAGACTCCAGCAGCTATCATTGGCTGCACTCCCAGCGTCTACCAACAGATGTATGATTCCAAGTTCGTCCAGACACTCCGTGCAAACGGTGGTGACAGTGCCTATGGTAAGTTTACAACTTCTCAATGCGTTTGATCCAGCTACATGTATCTAACTGGATGTATTTAGTTCCCACAACTTCTCTTTTCAGCGCAACGGATGAGGTTGTTCAACCGCAGTCGGGTCCGATCGCCTCAGCCATTCTCAAGGACGGCAATGGCGTCGAAGTCAGCAACATCGAGGTCCAGAAAGCTTGTCCCGCCACACCCGCCGGCGGCGAAGTCACTCACGAAGGCATGCTTTACAACTCACTGGCATTTGCTCTTCTGAGAGACGCCCTTACCAATGAGGGACCTGGCAAGCTCGAACGCATCGATAAGAAGATCTGCGCCGACCCTGCTGCTGGCAAGCTTGACGCCCTCGAGATCAAGGCGACGGAGGCCGTCTTGGTTGACGCCGGGGCGAACGTGCTTGCTTACCCCAACAAGGTCAAGCGTGAGCCCGCTATCAAGGACTACGCCAAGGCCTAAGCATCTTCAACAACACCATTGTCAGCGGGCTGGCGTGTAGTATTCTTGTAAATTATTTGTACAACACTTGTCAACAGTACTAGTAACGATACACGAACAAGCGAGCGAGCGAGCGAGCATAACAGCGTGTGCATTTTCATGGATTTAGCGTTGGATCGACTTCTAGAAAATAAAAACTTGTATTAAGTGCTTTTAAATCAGTTGAACATGGGGTTGAAAAGGTCTATAGGACATGTCTCGCAATGTGACAGCTTCACTGACCCTCTTTTGTCCAACATTGCCCGCTCTTAATCCGAGACTGACGTCTTAGATCTTATAATTGAGAGCTAATCGCTACGTTCACTTTAGGCCAGTGCCAAACTGATTGTAGAGATTCCTTTATATTGACGGGACGAGAGAATGTGATGGAGTGTAGGAAGTGTCTGAGAAAACAATCTTGCGGGGTAATATCAGCCGCTCGGCCCATTCATCTCCCAGATGCTGGCAAATTACCTGCAACAGGTATGCCCCTGAATCGCCAATCTGCCAAAGGTCCCGCGCCAGATGTAAAATAGCAGCATAGTAAGCCAGTACAGCTATCGCTTCGGGCTTTCTTTCGGATAGCTTTCGAGTGTAGTCCTCTGAGACCATCAGCGACCAGGAAAAGACCATTTGAATCAAGTACTTTCGACCCAGAAATACCCTGGTGTCTAGATCATCTAGTGCGACTTGTATAAGGTCGACAGCGTGCATGTAAATTTCCTTGTCAGCGGCCGAAATGTTCGGCGATGCAGATATCAAATCCAAGATGCTATCACAATCGGGACCGACACCTTTCAGCCAACTCAACCCCAGACCCCACGACATCAGAGGGACAAGCTCCGAGGTCTTGAGCAATGCCCAGGCGCGACTGACAATCACCCTCACGCCTCTACGGATCCTGGCGAAGTTGACGTAGCAGTCGATGAACGGATCTAGATTGGTGCTACGGAACGCAAGTGCGTCGACACAGAGATGACGGCCGAGGATGGCCGAGAACAGGACCAGAGGGACGCAGCTGGGCTCGTCTATCCGCGCCTTTTAGGCGTTGAATAATGAAACCGCTCTTGTTTGTAGCTGGACTGCGTCGTGTAGGATTTCCATTGCGTTTTCTGGCTCGAGGATCGACATATGCCGAGCAGACAGGGCGAGGATTTCGTGCATGAGGTACGGGGCGTCGGACCCTGTCTTGAGGATGAGCTGGGTGTTTCGTTCGATAAGACTGGGGCCGAGCTCCGGCACGGCGAGTACTAGAGAGAAGTGCACGAGGAATCTTATGTGTGTCATGTTGATCATATTGTCCAATAGGCTGGGAGTGGGCTGACCCATGTCGTTGCCGGCATACACTATGAGGTGGCCCAAGTCCGGAGTCGGGATGACAGCGGGGCTCCTCCCGGTCGGAGATCCATACGGCGAATCCGGCTTCGAGGTCCCGGCGTCTGATAGTACGGAATCGTGCATGGATTCATCGCCACGCGTAGAACTTGCTACAGACCCGGGATCTGCAGCATTTGCGAATACGCATGTACGGTCCACCATCGCGCAGTTGACGCATCTTGGGCGAGTCTCATCGCACTGCTCATCCGATTAGTCGATGTCTTCAGCCTTACGATACCAGTCGGCGGGTACGCGGAACTAATGCCGTATACGTGGAAACGGATATGTCCAGCTTACCTTCATGTGGCGTCGTTTGCACTCGGCACACCCCTTCCGGGACTTCCTATGGGAGCGTCTGTACATGGTTGGCCGTTGGCTACACCGATGTAAGCTTGCCGGCCCGAGTACGTGTAAGTTTGATACACAGCCCTTGGAACCCGTAGCTGCCGAATTCTGCACAAGTCGAAGCGCGCCAGGCCGATTCTGTTGTCAACGGTGGGAAAACATAAAGGTGACCATTGAGGTTTTTCCACTTGACTGAAGGAGGACTTGACTTTGCCGGTCAACAAACTTTTAAGAATCCACACGGCTAGCTAGGCATACTCGCACATTTTCTCTAAGCCATGATGCTTTACGTACGTGGACCTCAGCCGCGATATGTTTCCCTAGCTGCGCCGGGTTTCATGGGTGATCCGTGGACCATATTATTAGTTTGTCCGACTTTAAGCTTAGTTTCGCCCCTTAAAGGCTTTGCGATACGTGTATTCGGAGACCGCCGGACCAATAGTTGGCAATCTTTAGCGTATGACCCACCCGTGAAATACGTGTATTCGCATCTACCTCGGACCTCTCACCATCATAGACTCCCAAGGCTGATTTTCAGATTTGATTCTAGAAGGGGCCAAGGACAGTAGGAGGACAGCGAGTAACCGTAGTAGGATATATGCATACTCTTTACACGTACTCTTTACGGTCTACATAATGCCGGTAAAGACCTTCGCCGCGTCCCATACCCCAGCAGCCCTGACATAGCTCAAGGAAGTCTTTGGCCTGCCGAATTGAAAGATAAACACAACTGCCGGTGCTTTTGGTTCCCTTTCACATTTTCTCCTTTACCTTGAATAAGAGTTGGGCAAAGGATTCCTGGCTTTCTCCCTTACATCAGCAATGCCACGATTATTAATCAGGCAAAGCTTGACTTCAAGCACGCACACATTCGCTCGACGGGATACTGTACCGTGGCGATCAACATCAAATGGTGGACGTTTATACTACTTTTCTCAAAGAAAATCGTGTCTAAATCAGCGGTGTTGCGAGGCCTGAGTCCTGGGGCCCCGGTCCTCTCTCGAAATCTGCATGTCACGATCTAAGCTTGCCATTTGCTCTCAAGAAACCAATCACTTCGTTAACCTAGGATCACTAATACGACGTAGAGAATATGATGGGGCAGGAAAATTCTGCCTCGATTTCAATGGAAACTCTTGGCGTGGTCAACTTTGCCCCGACAGAACTCGTGACAAGACGAATCATCAAATAGCAGGACAATCATCTACCCTGCTTTCGGAACATAATTTAGCACCTGGAATGGTAACCGTGCTTTTCCTGGTTCGTCGTCAATTCATGGGCCTCGCAATTGAGACTCAGCCTCTTGGGCATCCCGAGAGCATTTCTGCAAATTCAAGCGCGTGGAGTCGTTAAGGCTTGACAAGGAACTCTCACTTCCCAACGGGGAGCCTGGCAACTTACGAACATGCTACTTATCCCTGTGACACTAGGACCATAGGCTCTCGGTTGGTGGAACTCGATAAGAAGTCAGTCAGTGAGCCTCTTCTTTGAGAAGCTGCTTCCTGCATGTCAGCAAGCCGTTCTGGCGCGATTTCAAATACGAGCCAATCGCTTTTGGTTCCAGAAGCGAAAGGACCGCCCAGCCAGCCAGGCATTTCGCAAGGCGGACCTTTCGTCGGTTTATTATTGGCCAATGAGAGGTTCACCGTTCAAAACAGTAAAGGATGATAATCAGGCTCGGCAATAAGGGGTAAAGCAAAAACTCCCGCACCCTGAAGTTCTTCCGAAACTCCCCTCTCCTCTTCTCTGCTATTTACGCACCTTTGAGTACTGTTTGAACCTGCGTCAGCCATTCGCAACGGCAGACCCATTCAGGATCATTGGCATCATCGGCATCGTAGGTCAAATCAGCAAAGCGGGAGTCAGGCTAGGGATAGATTGGAAAGAGGCGCCGAGCGACAAACGAAGCTTTTTGGGCTAGTTGGAGACATGGAAACAGTCCTTTCTGAGACCCAAACCAATATCATCCTGAATCAGGAATTCAAAGACGCTTTCGAGGGGTGGCGATACTCAATACTTTCATATTTTGCGGATAAGATTTCGTCTTCTGACCCCAACACCCAGGGTCTCATCTCCGCTTGTCGGGGTGAGCTTGAAGATCTCCCGAGAAAACTGCAGAAGCAGAGAGAAGGGCATCGTCTTGGTTGGGACAGACTGCAGGGGGCATTCAGAAGCGAACGTACCCACGCCGCCGTTGACAACCTTCAATGAAGATGTCATTTACTTAACAGCATGACAACCATAGACAACGTGGCGTTGACAGCAACAACCTCAGCGCAAGTCAAAGATACGAGGAATAGGATACGACAGCAGCTGCAAGATAAAAACAATGCCAAGATCAATAGCATACGCCAATCGACTTTGCTGCATAACAGAGCGATAACACTGAAAGGATATATGAAGGCACCGGGCAGCGGCTCATCGTAGATCTTGAAACATAAATCAAATCAAAGATTTCGGAGAGTGTGGATGGAATGTGACTTATAATTCCTAATATAGAGATAAGAGGTAACTGACATGAGGTATGGATACTCATTGGGAGCGTCGTTGCGAAACCTTCAGGATGAAGATGGCACATGAACTAGCTAGAAATCGGCGTCTTAATTGTGTTCTCGTTCAACCATTGAAGGGCCCATCAACAAGGGCCTGTGCTCTGTCCCTGTATTACCTAGTACAGACAAGGTGGCGCAATGCCCGTTCTTCCCCCACAGATTCCAGAAGGAAAGCCTTTGGCAGACATTCACCAAGCCGATCAAAAGGGAAGAATGGGAGTTACAATCTCTTAGGTAAAACGATAACAATGATTTAACACTAGATAATAGGTAAGGAAAATAACAAATATAAATGACATCAAAACTCCACAATGCCTGCGGCCCAGTGATTTCCAATCTCCATCGTATCTCCTCCTCACAGCATCAGCTGCGGACCATCCAAGACCACACTCTCCAAGTCCCGTTGGACTGTTTCTCCCAATGTTGTTCCTCGCCAATTCCCATAGCGTTCCCACACGAAATACAAATAAAACTTGTTACAACTCACTCATAACAACTAGTAATAGTAAGGAGATTGCAGAATTGTGGTTCTGATCACCCTTGTGTCCCGTGTTGACCACCATGTTCCCTGTGTATATCCTCCCATCAGGTCATATTCCTCGACTCATACAAGTACAATCCATACCCTCATAAAAGCGCCCCCATTATATCTTGAACGATATCTCCATGATAAACACTAACAATCTAATAAACACTACTCACTCGTCTTCATGTCTTCGTAGTATGATGATGCCCATAACTCTTTCTCACACTTCCCTGTTGTATCTCTCCGAATATCATGCGCTGATCAATCTCTAATTGCTCCAGTCGAATCCGACGCAGAGCTTGCTCTTCTTGCACACAGCCTTGGTGAGAGTCTGGATGCTACCACTGCTCAACAACTCAAGAACCTGCATATTGGCCTCAAACTCGCGAGTGATGAAGTTACGGATCTCGATGGCGACAAGCGAGTCGAGCGGGTAATGCGATAAGCTGCGAGTGACGTCGAGCTCCTCAATCTCCATCATCAGCACGGCGGCAATCTTCTCGACCAGGCCGCGGCAGACAACCTCCATGGCCTCTGTCTCGCTGCGCGAAGCCTTGAGGGCGGCATTGAGTGAAACGGCGCCGTTGGCACCGGCCTCGGCGGCAGCAAGCTCCTCAGCAGCCAGGCGCAGAGCCTTGAACTTGGCATCGGGAGTCCAGAAGGGCTGGATGCTGGGCGTGATACGCATACCAGTGATGACGTGCTGGTTGCAGACGGAAGTCTTGTTCGAGATAGATGCGCCGATGAGAGCGAGCACCTCAGCTTCGCAAATGCTGTCAGATCCCAAGTTCTTGGCGACCTCAGCAGCACGCTCGGCACTACCATCGGCCAGGTAACCGGCATCAGAGACAGCGGTCAAGTCGAGCGAGGTAGCGGGCAGACCAAGGGCAAGGCGGTGCTGGACGAAGGCGTTGAGGAAGCAGTTGGCGGCGGCGTAGGCGGCTTGACCACGGTTACCGACAGCACCGGCAGCGGAAGAAATGGCAATGAAGAAGTCAAGCTCAGTCTGGCGCTCCTGGAGGGCGTTGTGGAAGTTCCATGCACCCTGGACCTTGGACTCGGTGACCGAGGTGTAGTCGTTGAAGGTCATTTGCTCGAACAAGACGTCCTAAATTAATGTTAGTACAGAGAACATGAGGGAGACACGGTGGACAACCTACACGAAGAACCATGGCACCGTGGATGACACCACGGACGGGAGGAAGACCCTTGAGTCCAGTGTTGAACAATTGCTCAACGCTAGACTTATCGGCGACGTTGCAAGGGCGGACCGTGATGTGAGCACCATCGTTGGCAGCCTCGTCAATGAGCTCCTTGACCTTGCCGGTGGCAGAGCCACTGCGGGACAGAAGAACAAGGTTCCTGGCGCCGTGAGCGATCATCCACCTGGACATGCTGCGGCCGAGACCACCAGTACCACCGATGAGGAGGTAGGTGGCATCAGACTTCAGAAGTGCCTTGGCAGCCTTAGAGGGAGTAGCCATGACGACGTCCTCAGCATGAGGAACAACAACCAACTTGCCAGGACCCTGGGTGGATTGAAGCGTCTTGAAGGCTGTCTCCATGCAAGAGACGGGGAAGACAGTGGCAGGGTCGATGGGTCGGAGTTGGTCGTCAGCGAGAAGCTTGGAGACATCGGCGACGAGTCTCTCCAT